ACCTATTAGTTAGACTTTGTCACCTTTTTGTTAGGGGAATAATATTCATTCTCATGTTTTTCTAATATATACATGCTCGTTCTTGTAGTTCGTTAAAAAAAAGACAATTTTATTGCATATTTTGTCATTCAGTAACGCAAAGCAATAAGAGCTACTATTCTATAAATTACATACTTCTCATGACCTCGTTATTCAATACACAATGTGGTTTATTACAATCATTGTGTTATTGAAGTTCGCAAATTTTAGGTGTGTTGTCCTTGTGTTTTTTTAAACTATTAAATAATTAATCATGTCGATCTTTTCATTTTCGTTAACTATCAGACAAATTTAGTATCATCTACTTGAGGATGATTCTAGGTTGTAAAGAAAAATAATTTAAATGTTAATCAGCGTTTTGATGTCACCGTTAGTTTTCTTTCTTTCCCCAAGGTTGTTTTCGGGCATGAATTTTTGTTGTTGCTCTCTATTACATACTATTTTCTTATCGTTTATTATAAACCTAATCAATCAAATCACGAAAAAAAAACTCAAGTATGTATGTAAACTGTTATCTTGAATGGTTTCCTTTAATGTAAAATTTTCGCTAATAGTACACTGGATATTGTCTTACAGGGCATTTTTCTCGTTTTATGAATGATAATTTTCACCTATAAAACAATTATTATTTCTACTACTATTATTAGTAATAATAATGCTGCAGAGTCTTTCAATCATTTTTCTGTTCTAATCTTATATTTTATTTCTCTTATGGTTGGTATTTAAATACAGTATATGTTCGTATCTCTGTGTGTCTGTAGCTGCTGGTAGCCAGCAAACATGTTTCACTGATTATGAAAAAATATAAAAGTTTTGATTAATAAGGTATTTTATCGTTTTCTTTGCTATAATCCTTAGTTAACTAAAAGTTATCGTTCATTTACACTGCACTTGGGAAACTAGTTATTGCACTTCAAGTGAAAATTCAGATGGCGATGTGATATTTTGAACTACATGCGTCACTGTCTAACTAGTGACGTGGTTTAAGTGGAATAGAAAACTGCGATACACTGCATTTTTTTATTGCTGAGATTTGCTTTTGGTGAATTTTATTACTATATGTCATCACTACTACCTCGGTACTATTAAGTTGTCGAAACACAGACTATTTATACAAATTTTAAACAATTTACAAAAATGTTTTGATTACTTGCATATAATTTCATTGTTCTCCAGACTTTAAACTACTTTTCTTTCAGTAGAATGAGTCAGTTCTTAACTCCAATGGAAATTACGTGACTTGGGTTGTACTAGCCACATCCCATCTGGCTCTGAACATAACGAAGAGCGGAGTCAGCTTAAGCGCAAACTGACAAGAAGCCTACGCAATGATCGTGAACAGTGGTGGGTAGCGAAAGCAAGAGAGATGGAAAAAGCAGTGGTAATAGGTAACAGCAGACAACTGTTCAGACTTGTTCAGTAAACCGGTATTAGGAGTCCTACTGTTAGTGTAACTATCTCGGAAAAATGTGGACACATTATTCACTCTCAATCCACGAGATTGGATCGATGGGCAGAACACTTTGAGGATCAGCTCGACTGGCATTCAGCCACACTTCTGTTTCCCACGATCTCTAGTCAACCTGAATGGCAAGTTAATGTAGGTCCTCCGACTCTATGAAGTTGAAAAAGCAATAGGGAATCTGAAGCGTGGGAGAGCAGCAAACCCTGACAGGTTTACTCCTGAGATTTCTAAGGATGGCGGTCCAGTATTAGCACCAAGATAGACTGAGGTCTTAGGTAGAATTTGGGAACTGAACGTAATCCCATCTGACTGGTCTCAATTACTGATTGTGCCAGTCTATAAGAAAGGACAAAAGTCCTCTTGTGACAATCACAGAGGAATTAGTTTGACTAATATAGTGTCTAAAATATTAGCTTCAATAATACTTCGATGCCTAACTAAAGGTCGTGAAGAACAGACTAGAGAAAATTAGGCTGGTTTTTGACCTAGACGTGGTTGTATAGACCTGATATTCACACTACGTCAGATCCTAGAAAATAGACACACATTCAGATAGCCCACAATGGTAGTATTTCTCGACCTTAAGGCGGCATTCGTTTCTGTTGATCGTGAGGTTCTATGGCAGTGTTTGTTACTGAAAAAAGTACATTAACCTTACAAACTGTGTCTACTCGAAAACTACTAGTCGAGTGAGAGCTTATGGCGAACTGTCATCAGGATTGAATACCTCAAGTGTTGTTCGTCATGGCTGTCCACTCTCTCCATTCTTGTTTAACTTTGTCGTATACGTGCTTTTAGAGATAACACTTTCGTCTTCTAAATTTCCAGGAGTTGAATTTCTACCGGGAGGTTCACTTGTTGACTTAGAATATGCTGATGACATAGTTCTATTTGGCGAAGACGCTGACAAAATGCAGAGTCTTGTGACCACTATGTTTTGTGGTGTATGAGTAGGTTGGAAGAAAGCTAGGGGCGGACAGACCAAAACATGGCACAAGTCCATGAAATCACTGACAAGTGGACTGAACCATGGTGGAAAGTGTAGACTACCTGGTTGGGATCCACTAGATGATAGCAACCGATGGTTAGAGACCTTGAATGGCATGGTTCAAAATCGTTTGCAATGGCTCAAGTGCATCCACTCTTTGTGCTCTCCCAAATTCTAATCTTCTGAATTCTTCATGTCCCTTATTTTCTCTTTCCAAATTTATTTCACTGGATTATACTGCTTGAATAACATCTTCAAACCCTGATCTTTCCGATTACTACTTATACTTTTACTAACTTTACCACCTCTACCACTACGGGATTGGAATCGATACCTGCATCTCTGTGCTAATGAGGTGTGGCAACTCGAACTGATATACGCACGTATGAAGTTCTACGTTGTCACTGACTGACTGAGTGATAGTAGACCTGACGGTGGTCTATATTCTAAATTTCATTTCCCACAATCAATATGAATGACCGAATCCTCGTTTTCGATTGTTTCTAGGCTGTTTGACCATCACAACAATATTTTGTAGTTACAACTTTGTTAGTTATAGTAACTCTGAAAGAAGAATTTATACAAATTATTCGGGAATTAATAAAGTTGGTTGGTAGTTTCCCAACCTACTTTCTAAAAATGTCAAAGTTAGAATAATTTGGAGTTTCATGAGAAACTGCAACAAGATTATTCGTTTCTATTAGTTTTGTGCTTATCATTTTTGAAGTCCGAGAAAGAATTAATTGTTTCTTTTTGGATCATATGATTATTAAAATAACAACATGAATAAATTGAAATAGTATAAGGAATGTAGTCTTTAGGGCTGTTCATTTGGACCGATCTAGAATACCATAAATTGGCACCATGATTGTTAGTTATTTATAATCTGACATTATCGAGTGGAGGTTTCCGAAAATAGTTTGCATGTCGGAGGATTTATCTTTCACCTACTTGGTTATAAATTTACTAATATTTCATTGATCGATGCACTGAATTATTAAAATTGGAATACGGATATCTTCGTGTATGTCTCCGTTCTAAATTGTTTTCTAAGGAAATTCACAGCTTTGTTTCTGTGTATACAAGGTCAGTAAAATGATGTCGGTGGATAAAAATTTTGTGGTTTTACCTAAGTATATCTAAACATTTCTGCAAAACAAACCGGTTGTCAAAATCATTGATCGTGTCATGATTTATCTTAATCTTAACATTTGAACAAATGCAATTCGAGTCTTTTTTATATAGATTAGACAACTACCAACGGAGTCTGCACTCGTCCAAAGTCATCGTGTACCACGATTCAACACAATAAACTTAATTCAAAACGCCTCGTAAATATTACAAAAAACGTTTGATTCTCCGGAATTATTGATAAACTTATCATTAAAAGTTCGCATTTCTTGAATAACAAGCCAATAAATTAAGAGTTGTTTTCCCAATCCTGATGATTTCATAGAAATGAAAATCAAACTGTACAAATTGTCTATCATATATGAAACGTGATTATAACGGATAGCCCTTTAGCGAGAATTTTAATTGGCAAAAAAAAGAATACAATTGTTACTATTCATGACACAATAATAATAGTAGTTTATGTAACGTGCATTCAGAAACTGATAAAATCAATTTCGATTGTACAATGAAATCTTTTTAAACTACATGGAAATAATTATTCTGTTTGGAATGAATAATAATAAAATGATAAATATAATGGTTACTTCTGGCAACTGTCATTCAGTTTTTGTATTATGCTAAATTAAATTAATGTATTTTTTTCTGTATACAAGACATACACATCGATGTAAGTTTCCAGATGAAATTGCACAAAGGGAAACATTAATTAAAATAACAAAAAAATCAAAGTAATAACTAAATAGTCGTCTAGTGAATGAAAGTCCAGCTTATAAAATTAGTTTAAGTAAATTGGAATTAAATAAATGTGTCTTTATAAGGCAATTTTTGTTTTAATTCATTCTTTCTCTTACAGTTAAATAAGTGTTGTTAGTGCAACATAATATTTAAGAAAAAAAACATTTGTTTTCATATTAAAAAAATACGATAATCGATGACAAGTGTTTTTGTTTTCTTAGATTGATCACAAAAGCAGTAATATAACAACAGTCAAATATACAATATAAAAATCCAGTGTTTGTCATTATCTTTGAGTATAATCAAACAAATAAATCCAGGAACTCTAGCTATATAGCGTATAAGATACTAAAAAAAATATTAGAAGCGCAGCTCGTTTATTATTGGCATTATGATAAAGTATGAAGCAAAACAGAAGTTAATCTTTACAATAACCGAAATGTAAAATAGTGGGAGCAGTGATATCACTCATAAAGTGAGGAAATTTCTTGAACATATTATCTAAAACTGAAAATGCAATCTATACGTACAAGCAGTGGTTTTTTTTAAAAAAAATACAGCAAAGTATTCTGTAACCTTTTTTATACACAAACGTTGAACCAGGATTATAGATTTACACAATTTAGTAGGCTCAAGGATTTATGATTCTGTAACAGAACGAGCTTGTTCTCGTGCTAATAGAATGAGTGGAATCAAAGTTATCACTGGGCGAGCATTCTGTTGTATGAACGGGTGCTTCACATGCAAAAAGAGAACAATTTAGAATAAGATTATCAACATGGAAAAATACATATATCTACAATAAGTAATATAAGGAGAAATGGACGCCAAATATACTTTTCATTCTGATGTTATTCACGTCTATTGACATAAATATACCCAAACTATGGTTTGGGAAGTGTTCTCACATATATATTAAAACAATTTGTTGAACACGGCTTTATCTACCCATTTAGACTAGGTAACAATTGTAAGTTATTTGCCTGAGTCATCGTGTTGCAAATTTGGTTGATGTTATTCAGTTATTAGCAACACTGATAAGAACTATTAATTAATTATTTAATCTTCTTTTATTAGTTCCAGCTTACTTAGCTGTTATGTGCTATTTGATTAAGATATTGGGTCACACTTTGTCATCAATGTTTTGGAACAGTTTCTCAACATCGGATGGAACACTAATTAGTTTCTTTTTACTCCATTCGAGCTTGACTCTTAGGAAACTATTGTGTTTCTGCTGCTACGAACCCCTGAACATGATCATTTAACTCACAAGTATAAGCCTTAATTGTCAGTTTCATTTCTGCTAGTTGAGAAAATGTTGCGATCTTAAATGCTACTCTTTCAAAGCTGTACTTTATTTAGTCAATAGTACGCAATTTCATGGTAGTAGATTATTTAGAGCTGACTTAAGCCAAAATATACCGACAGTCGTAAATATGTTATTACAATATAGTTCCTTATATAAAATGAATAAATCCTTAATCTAACAGATAAAAGGTGTTAGGTCCCGATAAACATAATGAATGGTAACTTCGGGATCCTTTTTTGGGTCAATACCAAACGTATATTTTTATTGTATAATTGTTAAATAACTAAACTATTCATATTCATGTTCCTCTTATTATAAGTTTTATTTTGACCTATGAACCATTATTTTACGTTTTAACATTCTTGAATTATGCCCTATCTATTAGTCACTGCCTCACACATTCACAGCCACATTTGGCCAAATTTTGTATAAATGTTATTTTCTATTTTATGCTACGTTGTGGTCTGTTTGATTGGTATATAAACTCAGTATGTTTGAAATATAATGATTCATGTTGCAGAGGTTGAGATTGGCGTTGTGGACTTAATTGGATGGGCTAGGCCGAGAGCAGGACCAATCATAACTCTAGGCTGCTTGCACGTGTTTTACCGTCCTTGATCCGATCGACAATTCGCTGCTTCTGATTGGCGGCTTTGGGCTATAACAATAGGTTCCAGTCAAATTGTTCAGAGTGAAATTTATCCACAAAGATAGTACTTTAGCAATCTGCAACAAACAAACATTAAATTCCGAGAAGCAATTAGCACGAAAACCATTTTATCAGGCACTTGTTTCAGTCTCCTGTTTAACGTCACCTTTAAAAAATGAATAACCGTTTACAAATAAATAATATATTTGTGACATCCCAATGAGTAGAAAAATTAGGTTTTCTACTCATTGGGATATTACAAGTATATTAATTTATTTATAACAATCTACCCTAATGCTCAGTTTATTCGAAACTAGCCACTCAAACTTTGATAATGATACCTCATAACCGTTTACGTTTACTTTGCACAGTCTTACTTAGATACTGCTATCGTTTATCTCTATATGACAAGCTTATAGTTCGGGATTAAGTTCGAAAATTGTCCTAATCTCATTGTCCTCTCTAACTGAAAAAGAATCTGAGTAGAATAAGATTTATTCTACACTGTTGTTGCTATAATCACGTTAAGCATATCGAGAGATGGAGCAGATTTCACTTCGTATACAACGTTATTTATTCATCCTTCACAGAACATTATAAAATCTATTCAAAACGTTAATAAATGTTATATATATATATATATATATATATATATATATATATATATATATATATATATATATATATATATATATATATAACTTGATTAATGAATCACAGTTATTTAAAAATAAAAATGTTTACTTCAATTAGTTCAGATGCATTAGCACGAGATTGAGCATCCACTTCTAAACATCTGTCAAGAAAGTTCAATAATTCCGGACTAAGATTATCTTTACGAAAATCTGGTTTACCATTAGTTGCTATTAAATATAATGCCTAAATATTTAGATAAGAAAAATAATAAAGAGGAAACTAATAAGAATTTTTTAAAATATGAATTTGATTTGTTTTCTAGACTAGTTTCTTTTAAGATTGGAGGTAGTCAACAGGAAACCCACCATTTTATCTTAACATAGTGCACGTTATGTTGATTCACATAGACTATTGGTTACATTTCAACTTGTTCGATAGGATTCTATCTGCTCTAAGAAGGACCTGACTTACATGACATTGATCACCATCTTGTGATCAATTAATTGTAAATAGTTTCCTTTAAATATAATTGATTTGGTTCTTTTTTACAAACTGTAAGTATAGAAATTAATTATACAGTAATAAAGTTTTTACCAAAATTTCGTTTTTATTATAAAATGATGTTTATTATTAATTGATACTTTTCTATCAAGTATTTTACGTTAGTTTTCTAAACGAAATAATGAACAAGTGGAAAGATAATTACAGAAATGTTATTTTTCTTTTGTTAAATAGAATATAATTTATAGAGTTGAAAAATATTCATTTATTGATTGAATGATATTGAAATTATAGTTCTCTAAACATCCTTTAACAAGTACCTGAATAATTCATATTTGTAATTTGTTCATTTCAAGGAATAAAAGATTCTTATATGTTTGACATTCATTATAAACTTGTCAATAATAAATAAATAATCCGATATATAATATTTCAGTAGTTGAAATCATAAGCCTATTGAAGCTAGACGACCATGGAGAACCTAGAAGCACTGGATGGCCGCTTCATCCTAGTATAGGACTCTTCAGCAGTGCGCATCCACGATCCCGTGCCCCGCGAGATTCGGCCATCCAGTGCTTCCAGGTTTTCCATGGTAGTCTAGCTTCAATTGACTAATGATTTCAACTATTGAAATCACTAAAATCTCCACAAAACCCCTTCTAATATAATATTTGTTAAATTAAAATGAAAAAAGAAATGTTCAAATTTGTTTCTCGATTAAAATTTGCTTTATCGAATAGAATTATGTAATGAAGATAGTATTATTCAACTCATATATCAATGTCTAAATAACCATTTCAACTTATATGATATCTTAAAAGAATCCGAATAGATTTGTATAGTTAAAATTTAAAAAATATATATATATATATTATCCATTCAGATGAATATCAGGCAAAATACAGTTGAACTATACAGACTAATTAAATAGAATATCAATAGTGTTTTATTTTATTTATGAAAGCTAATGATATAGTTGAAGTATTAAAATATTTCGTTTTTTTTGTGTCTACATTCTTTTGAGAATATGTTTGCATTTAATATACAAAGGATTGATACATTTCAAAGTATCGTGACCATATTCTTTTGCTGTTCATGAAATAAGAAAACTAGATTACGTAATATGAATAATAACAATAGATTTAGTTAATATAATAAAATGAATAAAATGTTTTTGTTATATCACAAGTTGAAATCATGAGCCAATTGAAGCTAGACCACCATGGAAAACCTGGAAGCACTGGACGGCCGTTTCGTCCTGGTACGGGACTCCTCAGCAGTGCGCATCCACGAACCCGCCTCCCGCGGGATTCGAACCCAGGACCTACTGGCTTCACGCGCGAGCATTTAACCATTAGACCACTGAGCCGGCATCCAACGGTGTTAATGTTATAATAATTAAAGGTCATAGAGGTGTAAAAAATAAATAAGGTGATATGATGAGTATTTACGAATAAAACAATGAGAATATAAGACAGGAAGTACGTCTTATCGTTATCGTTACCTTGGCCTTAAGCATTTTGATTATCCCATTATTATTATAAATATTATTATTATTATTATTATTACTGCATTCCCCCCTTTACTTATGTCTTATATTCCCATTGTTTTATTCGTAAATACTCATCATATCACCTTATTTATTTTTTACACCTCTATGACCTTTAATTATTATGACAAAAACATTTTATCAGAATGAGTTTTGTGGAGATTTTTAGGAAATTTCACAGGTTGAAATCATGAGTCAGTTGAAGCTAGACGACCATTGAAAACCTGGAAGCACTGGACGGCCGTTTCGTCCTAGTATGGGACTCCCCGCGGGGGGCGGGTTCATGGATGCGCATTGCTGAGTAGTCCCATACTAGGACGAAACGGCCGTCCAGTGCTTCCAGGTTTTCAATGGTCGTCTAGCTTCAACTGACTCATGATTTCAACCTGTGAAAAACATCTTAATCATTTTGTTATGTTCACTAAATCTATTGTTATCTAGTATTATAACCTTTTTATTAACTGTGTTCACATTTCCTCACGGAATTAGTATTTTTACAAAAAATAAGAAAACACCTAGAAGCATCAGGTCTAAAACTGTTTTTTTTTGTGAAGTAAGCTTTTTCTATACAAAAGTTGTTTCTATTCACTAGATAAAATGTAAAACATTTAATAAATGACATATTTGCTGTTATAGTCATGTAACCTTACTATACAAGGGAAAATCAAACCCATATTGTAGTACTGACCATGCTCTCACTAGTAGGTGATCTAGAGTGGTAGTCCAAGAAGTTCGGACGCTCAGTAAAAATATGGGAATTGAAACAGTTTTTGTTGGTGATCGAAATTTCCTGATTGTTCGTTTGTTCAACAAAAATACACCAAGAATGGACAAAATCCATCCCCTCGTTCAAAAGCTATGTCAGAAAATACGACCCGAGAATTTAGATAGAATGTCCGTACAACAAAATCCTATGGAAATGACCAAGAACGTGAATTTCGTTAACTCACTTTTGAGCAAAACTTTCAAACAGCTAAACCAATCTCCGTTCTTTTTCATTCAATTTATCTTGCACTTATCTGTCCGTGAAATGATTGCATAATGATATTTATAGGCGGGAAATATATTTTCATGGAAATATCTTCTAATTCGTTGATCATCACTAGGTTGGAAAGTTAAAATTTACGATCTTTATGTCTCCACATAGGAATATCTTATCGAGCTCATTTATTCATTGTTTTGCACAACATTATCTATTTTTTCAAATAAATGCATAGACGAACACATGTTTTTGCATTACATCGGTGATTTGCGTCAAAATCGCCTTTTTTTATGCGCACTGCACGTTCTTTTACTCTCCATATTATATAAGGTGACTACCCCTAACTCGTTGGTCTCCCTATATCAATAAGTCTTGGACATTGCGCAGTCGACTTTCTCACCTTTGAATGTACCCTATTTACACTGTACTCAAAAAAACTAGCTGCATTGTTGAAGTCTTGTTATTATAGATACAAGGGGCTTTGAATTTATTGCTAAGTTTTTCCAGTTTGAATTATATATTTGCCGAGTAACTGTGTTGGTCACATTTATTATTACAGCAACTATTGCTCTGTCACTAATATTGTATCTCAGTCAGTAGAAATTCTTGACCAGTAGAGTACAACGTCGAGTGATGCAGTTACTCATCGAAGACAATGGAGGATTGTTGAACCATATGGTCAATTGTTTGAAATCAAACATGTAAATTGTTGGGTGTCAATTTAGTGGTGTAAGTGTTAAAGACTTGTGATGAGACGTGATAATTTTGTATTCGACCCACCGAAAGTTCGTGGATGCTTGTTATCGAGATGTCTGATACTAGGACGAAACAGGTATCCATTGCTTCTTAGCTTTCAGTGATTATTTAATTAAGATCTACTCGTGACTTAACTATTGAAACAAAAGCAGTTATTCAAAGACATAGCTTTGTTAACCAAATAAAATATCTCACTAAAGAGTAAAGTTATTAAAAATGAGTTTTATCCATTGATAATAAGATCGATAGATAGACATAAATAACATATAATTAAGAACAGTCTAAACTGTGTTTGTCTCATATTACATAAGAAACAGTAAATGAATATCATAAAAAAAACAGGAAAAATTACTACTGACGGTCATAGTGAGGACAATATAAGGGATATATATTTAAAGAAAACAAATGAAATAAACGAAGTGTAAAATAATAGCCGAATCTATAGAGGAATGCATCTGCTTCTGTGATCATTGTATCGAGCGTTTCAAGCATAAAATACGATGATTCTGACAATACTTATCCATAAGTCTGAATCCCGAGAAACAGTATTAAATAATAACCAACGACTTAGCAAACTGATTTTATGTTTTCTTTTGATTACACATTCTTTCAGCTTAGTCGTATACTTGTATAATATTCAGTATAAGGTGATGGTAAGGAATAAGTGATACGTATTTCAATCATATCACAAGAAGTTGAGATTTTCATCAAAGCATTCTGAATAGAACAAGAAATACTTAACTTGTTTATCTATAGTCGAGCAGTTTCTCTATGTACATGCTTTTGTACTGGACTCTATATATCATATAAGTTATACCATAGACTACGTTCGAAATCCTCTAAGTAAATTCATGGTTATTCATGTTTATTTATATTGCTATTAAAATCCACAAATAAATAAGTTCTGAGTATTGTGTGTGGATTGATATTGCTCATAATGGGTAAAAAAGATGCTTGCACGCAACTCGGAGTTGATCTGGAAGCATTTTTTTATAAATCCCAAGTAGTTTAGTACGCACCGAGTTGATTTAAAAGGTTTAAAACATGTAATGAAGTTACATTTTTCAGGGATATGATATTTTATGGTCATGGAATGACACCGTTTTTGACTTCCGGCTAAATTCTGTGTAAAGATAACTATAATAAGGTTAAAATAATGAGCTTTCCGTTTAAAGATTACTACCATCAATGAATAATTATTTTTTATGGAATTATCACAGGCTTAAAAATAAATAACAAAATTTTTACAAGCGAAAAGGTTTATATTGAATGATAGAGCCTTCCAGTTGTAATAAGTGTTTGTTATACCATCTACGATAAAATAATATCCATTAGCTCTCACATTTTTACAAACATAAAGCAAGTTCTCATCAAAAATAAACTTCAAAAACCTACTGACTTTGAAAGGATTAATTATCTAATATTTTCAATGTGAAGTTCATAATTAATAAGTCGAACGTTTTTTTATGTTTACTCTGAAAAATATGCTGTTTAAATTATAATAGCTTATAATTGAATCAGTTCGTTCTTTTGTAATACTTGGTAAAATCGATTTTATATGTTAGTGATAAATTGAGAAACCATGAATTTTCGGACTTTTCTATATATAGTTAAAGTTTCCATGAACAATAAAATAATGAATAAAATTTGATAGATTGGGTTTAAGTATAACAATTGCAAAACTCATGTCAGATTTTAATTTTATACACTTTCAGTAAGTATAACTCTATGGAGTCATTTTAGAGAATGTATTCCCATATAAATTCATGAATAAGCTGATAGGTGTTGTGGCATTCCATCATGTCAATAGATATAGATAATTGTGCAAATAAATTCAAAACAAAACTGAAAACACTGAAAACGTCTATGAATGTAATATTCATACTATTTAGCCGTTATTATTAGAAAAAAGCAGTTGTAGTAATTGGAAGTTTGTCGTGAAATAATTAAAAATTCATTAAATTGTTTGTTTGTTTTTTAAAACAAATTTTAAATATAAACGTGAATCTATTGAATTTTATGATTCTTATAGATGAAAATTACGATAAAAATAGTTACAAACCAAAATTAAGTTTTTCATATTCTCTAATGATACTTTTCGTTTTATTATTTCAAAATGTTGACATTTGAGTTGTTGCATTAGTATATACTACGAAATCTTAACTGAAATTTTATGGTATTGTATGTGAATAGATAATTACTATTCATGTTGTTATAATGATAAAGATTTGTATTTCTCATTGTCAATATTTAAGACTGGATTCTATTAAATGGACTTTATGAATTCTTTTGATAACCAATATACAAAATAATATCAGGTAATGCCATTTTATATTTAGAAGCTGAAGAACACATAGTAATGGTTTTTTAAGAATCATACTATGGTAATGCTTATTTTATTCTCCCAATACAAATTAACTGAAAGATCAGGGCTTTTTTTTCTAGCACTAAGAGATACTTCCAAAATATACATAGTAATCTCCTGGCAAATTCAAAACAAAAACTGGACATGAAGACGGGAGCAGAAGGATTGGTAATATGTTGTCAAAATTTAGTGATATCAGTGACGTCAGACACTTGTATAAAACGTTTTGACTGACAAGATGTGAGGTATCTATCATTTTACATATCAATACAAAAGGTTTGATAATTTTTAAACCATTTTAGACAATGATTAAGTCTTATTCAATCAATCTAAGCTTAATGATGACATGTTCTTTCAGCCTGGACAAAATGGTTTATCAAAATATTTGTTAGAATTAAACATGACTTTTTAAATTGTAACTGCATATATTCCTTGAGAAAATTCTACAGAATCATTCAATTATAAACATGAATACCAGTAAAGTTATGATAATCATTCGCCGAAATATATACAGCATATTATGAAATATATTCATTCCAAAATGAGTGAAATCACTATGTGTATAATTGTTGTAAAAGGTTAGTCAATTTTAAAAGTCTGAATTTGCATTATTTTTTTTTCCTTCTTAAGAATGAGATATTAAATAGCAGTATTCATAAAATATTTTCTTTATGTTATTATATCTAATTTTGATATAGCAAGTTTACATAATTCTGAAATTATTATTGAGACAACTTAACATTTCCATATTATGATAGTTATCTTACTGAGATATTAATTATTAAGTATAAAATAGGTTGTATTTTTTTTTTGAAAAAAAAATACATCAGTAATTTAGTAAAAATTAATTTGTCTGTAAAATGTTTAATTCACTTTCTCAAGAACAAAAAAAAACAGTAGCATGGTTTCAAACAAAACGTGCTAGTAGTTCCTTTTTTTTTTGTTGGTAAAATCATTTTTACAAAATAGTATCGACAACTGTTCAAATACATTCTTTCATACTCTTTGTCTATTCATATTAATATATGTAATAACTATTTTAAAATATAACTTTTAACATTATAAAAAATACAATTAAATGTACTTACTTTTAAAGGATTTTCACTTAAATAAGGTGGTTCACCTTCTAACATTTCTAATGTCATTATACCTAATGACCAAATATCAATTTTATGACCATATTGTTTTCTGCTAACTACTTCAGGTGCCATCCAATAAGGTGTACCAACCATTGTAGTTCGTTTAAAATCATCATTTTTAGCAGATAATTGTGCACAAAATCCAAAATCTGTTAATTTTACAGAACCATCTAACCCTAAGAGTATATTATCAGACTTTATATCACGATGTATTACATGTTTGCTATGCAAAAATTTTAAAGCTTGTAAAGTCTATGAGAAAAAGAGAAAAACAATAAATACAGTTATTTATTAAGGTATTAGACTTTTATTGAAGTAATGTTTATAGTAATGATAAAGTATTATAGAACAGAAATAAATCTCAAAAAGAGATTATTTTAAGAACGATCTCTTTTTAATCTTGTGTTCCATCAGTCATGATAGTGAAACCTCATCATATTGATATGATATACTGTATGAGAAAAAATTATATGGAATGATGAATGGAGGTACCACCTTTATGAAAGTACATAAGTTTAATTATAAAATTCGAACAAGTGTAATAAATACTTTTTAAATGCACCCCGTTACTGATTGATGAGATTTATACACATTATGATTGAAATAAGGTCAGAAGTTTGTGACTATAAGTTGCGTGGAGTTAAGAATGCTTGCATCCCGGTCGAATGATTTAATGTGAAATCTTTATTCATCAGAAAGCTATGCATAGATTATGAAATGAATAAACAGTTAAAAATATATTTCGAACGTACTGATGAAAATAGTTACACTTGTAAAAAATATGTGTATAAAACACGAAGAACCATATTTTCTAGTAAATGAACACTAAATTCGAGAGAGATGTTAATGGACACGATATAAGTGTCTTCTTCAAAGTTAATAAATTTTTTTTATTTACGCATCTCTGTATTCTTTTATCACTAGTAACTAATTTAAGGATGGGTGAAATACAAGTTTATACTTCAGGTTAACTCCATAACAGTATGCCAGTGTGTTTGTCTATCTGTAAGCAATTATTTATTCTATACAAAGCAGATTTGTTTTAAATTTGGTATAAAAAAATAAGCTATTTAAATGACTAAACGTCGACATGGGATAGATGGTGCATCTATTCTTGAAAACACTACAGATACTGATCACAATATTCTACAAGAAATTTTTTGACACTAAATAGTTTGTATGAAGTACAGATTTACTGCTGACGTTAATCACAAAGTTTTGTAATTTGTAGACTGTAAACTCAGTTTGCCTACAGAGGCGGTATATTATGTGTTTATGTTTTTGCCATAGTTTAGATTATCAGATCGAAATGATTCGTAATTCTGAAACTCCGCTTGTAGCTCTTCCAGAGTTACTCCCAGCTACAATCCCGTGTACAGAAGGAGAGTTAGGCATGTGGTCAGCATCTACATGTCCTAGAAAACAACTTTCATAAGAAAACTAACTAGAAAAATCGTTTAGTCTATTTAAGCTCTTCCTTGAGATTTGAAGCACCTTCGTTTAGAAGAATTATGACATCATATGGTTAAAGCCGACTCTTCGGAAGTCACGAGGATAATATCACTCCTAACAATCAAATCAACAACAATTAACATAGATATATAGAATGTCTGCACAATGTGGGAGAGCAGATATTTCAGTCTAATAGCTGCGGAAATGAGGATGTACAACATGGCGATGCTCGAAATACGTGAAGCCCATTGGATTTAAGATGGACAGAATAGATAAGCTTCTGGAGAGTTGCCGTTGTAATTTAGGTATGAGAAAAAAGTGCTCTGCACACCCAAAGAGTTGCACTGATATTGTCCAAAGTATCACTAAAAGCATTTATCGAATGGGAATCTCATGGATCTGGAATCAGTAAAGCATCCTCCAAAACAAAGAAGGAGGGAATCACAATGAATGTTATCTAGTGTTATGCACCCACAAATGATTGCAATGGAGACAACAAAGATTAGTTCTATGAGAAGCTGCAGACCATCGTAGAGAATTGCTCAGGAAAGGACCTGACAAACTTGATGAGAGACGTAAACATCAAGCTGACATCACCGAGTATGAGGACATCATGGGACAACATGGACTGGGAGGAAGGGACGAAAACGGCGGTAGATTTGTGGATTTCCGTACTTTCATCATGGACATTCAGTGTAGCGGCAGCCTCTACATCAGTAGGCCTCAACATACAAGGGAAAAACCAAGAACCTCAAATACAACACTGAAAGCACCGAATCGATCACACTGGATGAAGAAGCTCTGGAACAGGTGAAGAACTACACTCATCTGGACAGCATCATCGATGAACAAGGAGGATGGATGCAAACGTAAAGGAAAGGATTGGCAAGGTATGGACAGTATTCCTATAGTTGAAGAACATATTGAACTCCAAACAACTATCAGTCGACATCGAACTCACAATCTTCAAAACGAACATCGAGACAGTTCTACTGTACGGAGTTGAAACTTCGAGAACTACCACAATCATCATCAAGAATGTTAAGGTACTTAAAACAGTTGTTCATGCAAGATACTTAGCGTCCGTCGGTCGGATACCATCAGCAAAAGTTTACTGTGAGACAGAACAAACCAACTTCCACCTGAAGAGAAAATAAGGAAAATAAACTGGAATTGGATAGGACATACATTGAAGAAATCATCAAACTGAATCACGAGGCAAGGACTAACTTGGAATCCCAAAAGTAAAATGAAAAGAGGGAGACCATAGAACAGATTGAGTTGGGAATTAGAGGCAGACATCAAAACAATAATATTTGGAAACAACTGGGAAAGCGAGCCCAAAATAGAGTTGGTTGTAGAATCCTGATCAGTGGCCTGTATTCTACAATTGTAACAGGCGAGATTAAATAGGTTAGTATGATCAATGATTGATTCAATGAATGTTATTGAAACTTCGCTTCATCAAATCTATCTTAAATAAATTTATTTTAAGTACAGTTAAATTTGTTGGTTGATACTATTATGTTACATGTCCAAAGTTCATTAGCATACCTTTTAACATCATTTCACAGTAGAAAAATGTATACTTCTCTACTTTCTTAAATCCACATCAAAAATGAATTACATAGAAGTAATTTAAATTAAATCAGTGAAATCAAATAAGTTTATTTATAGTAATTAAAACATTTTTAACATACTATCCTAATGCAAAAATACTTATGTTGCCTCTATAATCGAGTGAATATTGTATGTGAATAAACTTACAGTCAGTTATTGTTGTTAATAGTACACAATAGTTTCAATAGACTTTTCTGACCTTATGGAAAAGAATAAACCTTGTTGAAGTTAGATATTGGATATCCTGTTATTGATTTTTTGTTGTTGGTTTGCAAGTAAACATAAACACTACTATTATTATTATTAATATTATTATTATCATTATTCAAAATACATAAGCCTACGAAAAATGTATTTTTACACAGATAATGAAGATTTTAAATGAATTTTCACATTAGTGTAAGCGAACATTCATTCATTCATTCAAATTTATTATTATATAAACTAACTGACAGTAAATATTACATTAAAGTAATATTACTGCGTATGCAATATCTTTGATGAATGAAACACTCTTAAAAAATGAACAATTTTTTTATATCCCCTTTAATCCTGACTCCATTATAAGATATTCAACGCCTGTGATATGCCTAACTACTGTGTATGACTTATTGGCGAAGCATTCATTTTGTCAAAATACTCAAAAATTCTTTCTTAATTATGAAATGGGAATCATGAATTGTCATGATTCGTCAACTCGTCAATAAAATTCCACTTGACTTTGTGATAGCTGATTATCTTGACAGCATAAATTGTAAGTGTTATGACTTTAAGTTGTTGTCGATTTCTACCCTGTGTGATCGATCGATTACAATGACACGCAAACACGTACGGACGGCCTAGAGTCTCGATTGGTCCCACTTCCCTGTCTAGCCCAGTCAGTTGAGTCCAGAACACAAGTCACAGCCTCGGGGATATGAATCACTATATTTCAAACATACTTTGTTTATATACCAGTCAAGCATACCACAGCGTACCATAAAAATAGAAAACAACATTTTGTACAAGTGCACAGATATCGACCAATAGGAAATGTCCATTTAAAGTCCAAGGACACCATTGAACTTAACATGATAATTATTGGTCTATTCCTGCGCATCCACAACAGTAAGGTTAATTAATAAACCAATATATTAAGAGTATATCACAGTTACTACCAACTGATTTATAAATGATTAACTACTTACAACACAATAATGTAAAATAAATCTTTTTCTTATGAATAAACATTCGTTTACAAACTTTAATGTGTATCACTTTATATTAGTTTTTAAGTTAAAAGTCTAATATAATGGATTATACCGACATTTTAAATACGCTGGATTCTCATGAAGTGGCACATCACTTATACATATAAATGAAAACACTTAATGTCCTACTGAAATGGATCCATTATAACTTGACCATCTTATTGAGTTAACATCAATTTAACTCAGAAACATACTATTTTTTTTCTCATAAGTTGGTATGAAATTATTTTGCATATCATTAATTCCATCTAAGAATTAAGGTAGATCAAAATGCTTACTGTATATTATTAAAACGTCATCCATGTTTCTTCTAGACGGGTAATTCTCAATGAAGAGCTCTCAGTTCATATATCTGAAATTTATTATTTAAACAACGTATCTCCACTGTGAACTGACTGTAATTTATAAGATATTGACTGTATTAGGTTACCAATTCATAAAGCTAACCAAAAACAGCTGTCCAAATTTGTTTTAGTTTGATTTTTATACTTGTACTTGACAGTTAATGAATCGCGATACAACAAGTGGAAACACAGTAGTTATTTGAATTATTGACAAGTGACATTAATTTTTAGCATTAATAGATAAATAAATGTGAAAGTACAAATTTATAGTGGACTTACTTCACGACAAACTGTGGCAATATGTGATTCACTCATACATGTTTCTGTAATAACATCAGTTAATGAACCACCATCTAAATATTCCATTACGACCCACAATTCATCTCCTAGCTAGGTATTAAGTTAAGAGTAAATTGTAAACTTTAATTTTGTTGAATATGTTATATCCCAGTGAAGATTAAAATACGGGTAACTTCCGAGGACTATTAATGAACTAATATTCTGTAAATATTCTTATTGTATAATTATTCAATAATTAGATTATGTATATTTATATTCCTCTTATCATAAGCTTCATTTTGACCTATAATTTATTATTATACAATTTACTGTCCGTAAATTATGCTCAGTTTATTAACTACTGCCTCCCACGTTCACAGCCACTTTTTGGCTTTATTGTGGACAAATATTATTTCCTATTTTTTGTGGTACGATGCGGTCTGTTTGTTTGATATATAAACACAGTATGTTTAGACTCAAGTGGACGAGCTAGGCAGACATAGGACCAAACAAGACGCTAGGCTGCTCATACCGGTCGAACGTCATTGGTTTTGGCACAGTGCGAAGACTGTATAAGTCGTATTTTGATTAGTGGATAAGTCACGTGGTAAAAACCGGACATAAGTCATAACAGAATAAATAAAATTTTCAGGAATTTATCTAACGCGGACGAACTATTCTTTACCTAAATATTATCAAGATATGACAAGATTAGCCGGATAAGTAATAGAATGTTGATGCATCTACCTACGTATATGACAATCATCAAATTGTTATCAATCTCATTGTGATACCGAGACAATTTTTAGTGCAACGCCAATCTCTATGAGCACTTAAATCAATGACTTCATAAAATATAACACTACAATTCAGCCAGAACAAGTAATTAATAAATTCTTTCCATCTTGATATACTGTAGTTGCTGTTTCCAATACATGTAATATGCATCACGTAAACTCTTAATGAAAACATAGAATACACGGCGTTCGTGTGATAAATTGATTAAATATGTTTCGATACTGAATAAAGTGAAAATATTAAAAAATATGATACATTTACATCATCAATGTTTTAACACCACGTGATTAGTTGGTTAACCATTCAGTTTGCTAAAAATTATAACATACTAATGACATATAAGTAACATTTTTTATAATCTTAGTTACGGTAAATAACATTAAAAGCTTGATTTACTTTGGTATTAAGCAAAGTTTGCTGTTTTGCTCGTACTATTTTGGTTCTTTGTATATTCGGTGAAGTTTTCAGCAGTTTGTGTTTGATGTTAGCGTTTGCGAATGTTAAAAATATTTGCACATGATGTACGTTTAAATTAGTATGTAGGTCAAATGAAATAACGGAATCAAAGTTTGTAGACAACATAATTAATATAGTGATAGTAACAAAAATGTTATTATCAATCAGATTGAATATTCAGTCAAGTATTTTACACCGTCAGATGTAATTTGAACTAGATGAGATATAGTAACAATGGGGTGAGTAGTAAATGAAAAAAACAATAGATGATGGTACAGGAGAACTTACTAAATAACTATCTAAGTAATTGACTACATTTGGATTTCGATATGTTCTCATAACCAAAATTTCGTTGAGGATTAATTCTTTTCTAGGTTGTTGTCGTAGACTCATCTGTTTAATAGCTACACGACACCCAGACTGAAGTTCTCGGCCGATATAAACAACACCCGAAGCTCTAAACATTATCAATAAGTATGAATTGTGATAATGAAAGTACAACAATTATCTTAAACGTAAAGGGGATAAAAAGATGATCTTAAAATTTAAACAGAAGGAAACATAATTAACTTATTTTTAGTTCTCAGTGTCATTTACATAATTAGATGTGTTCTTTTATAAATTAAAATCTATTTTATTTTGAAGAAAAAAAAGTCGAATTGTAAGCAGATAATTGGATTTTATTTTCAACAATCGACCGTAATTAAGGACGATTTCAGGATACTCAATTCATGTGAGGTCTTAAAAATATAGTTGTATTCCCATGATAGTTTATAAGCTATCCACTACTTGAGGTAAGTTCAATAAATCATTCGATCTTGTCATCTAAATCTTCTGACTCGAAAGCAGAACATGATTAACCATGTCAGGTAGTTATATGTAAGAAATAACCAACCGAAAACAGTGTTTTCGTCAAATTTCTTTAAGTATTGTTTTCGCAGGACGGAATGAGATAAATCAAGAACGATCGAAGAATCACATAGCATATCTTAGTGAATCTCACACCACATATATTAATAAGACTTAAATGTATAATACAATTAGTGTGACAGGTGTTAATCAGTATGAAATGAGAATAAAAGCTAAAAGAATGATAAAAACACCTCATGTATTAATCTCCCATTATAATTTTCATTACTTTGGTCTACAACAATCTTTGTGATACTAAATGTGGGGACGGATCCCGGTGAACTCAAGGAAGCTCTGAAAGGTTTAAAGATGTCCCATTCAATCATCGTTTGGAGGAACATTCCGAAACCCCAACGTGTAGCTTCCCGATTGAACATATGCTAAAAACCATTGCATGCAGACTGAATAATCGTAATGATGAATTCCTTTTTACTAAAAACTATAAGTACCCGAGTGTTTTGTACCGTGTTTGACACTAGTTGGTATACGATTCCTTTCCAATCGTTTTCTGTATTCTAACTTGCGAATTGAAGGGATCATGTGTTCGAATGCTCAAGTTTTACGCGGTATAGAGAAAATTCAAGTTCTAGATATAACAATAATATACTCAGAATCACATGACTTTTTGTCGAGCAGATGAACCAAAATTTCACATTGGTTTGATGGCTAAGCATTCCGGAAATGTTCTTGATATTTAAAATGGATTTTATTTGTAGTATGATTTCTGGATAGATAGTTTTCCAGTGACTTCCTTAAAAAATCCTATACTTAATATGACAGTTTTCATAATTAAAATTTCGCAAACCTGTACTGTATTTCAATTTGTTTAGTCATTGAATAAAAAGTCAACGTGTGAACCCAGAAAATGACACTTTATTATTAAGATAATAAAAGTGCCAACGTGTTAGTTCATTTTTAGATATTACTTATTGTCCATAGTAATGACAGGATATCTGAATTCATGGATAAAAAGTTATTTTCACAACGTTTTAGAGTAAGCGTATTTCATTCTATGATGTCTACGAAAATCTTAAAAGGACTCAGTTAATAGTGCTGAAATGGATACAAATATTACATGAGAAGTTTTGAGCCTGCAAGAAAATTTTCAACTAAAAACTGGACCCACAGCCACACAGCAGCATACATGGTGTTAGTTTTTATTACGATTACTTGAGTGAATTCTCACTGTTCAAGTGACGTAATCTCAGGACAATATTTCTGAAATAAAGAAATAGAATTCTACTGATTAACGTACCCATGACCAATACGTCCAAGGGTTTCATATTTTTCTGAAGGTTTACCTTGACTAACAATTGTCCTTAACCTAGCAATAATTTGTTCATCACGCATACGAATTCTGTTACGGCAACTTGGGGAATGTCGAGAAACTAGACAAACTGGGGGATTGGGGTTTTGAAATCCGGTCCCATCATCTGGAGAACTTGTGTCACTGGGAGTAATTGCGGGTTCTAGGTTTCTGTTGATAGCCAGAAGTTTAGGAGAGTTTTTCAAGCTCGCTGCTGACTGTCTTCCTGAGTGAACTGCAGACTAAATGACGATAAAAAGTGCACAAAGTCCTTACAAACCAGATACTTGCTTCAATTGTAAATATAATTGAAAATATTACGTGAAAATGTGTTATTTCACCTCTCAATTTACATTAGATACATAAAGTACAAGTTTAGTATGGGAAACGCAAGAATATAAGACAGAAAGCAAATTATTCAGTAAAATCTGCTAAGATCCTACAGAAAATGTATCAATACAAACTGTATGAATGATTTATAATTACCGTTAATTCAGAATGCGAAAAACAATTAATACAAATAATAATTGTTATATAAACTGAGTAAATAAATATCTGCAGTTGTTTAAAGAAAAATATCACTTTAACTAGAAAGATATATCAATAAAGAACTTTTCCAATACACTATTAATTCAAACTCATGAATTCACGAAATTTCAATTTCAAATCAGACGACTTGGGTGAAATAAGATTCTAGGGTAAATTACTTCACAACAACTGTTAGCTTTTGATTAGCAGATTTCTACTTGAATTCTTACAGATATTTTTTGATCACCTCGTCTTAGAAAGCAAAAATTCACAGGAAATGTTTAAAGATCAAGCTTTTTAAATAAAACTCATTAACAGTTGCGTATGTTCCAGCCACGTAATTTTATTTTCACACTGACATTTTAGAGACCATTTTAGTTCATATGAAACCTTTATCAAATAGTGATAGCAACTGATTTAAAAAGATTATATGTATTCAACTTTTAAATGCTTAACTTACTGTCTAGGACAATTACTACAAACGTTGTGAAAAACTGATCTGTAATAAAACAACTTCTGTATGTATTTATACATTTTTAACGTACTTATAATTAAATAAAAACTAGACAGTCGACAATTTGTTAAACGATGAACAACACAGCATGTATTTATGCATGAACCCAGTGATAAATGATCGTACTGATACATAGAGTGCTATTTAATTTATAAGTTTAGAAAAATTCGATTACTAATGAAATTTTTGTTTAAGGATTCATTTAACCTACTCAGTTATCAATTGGATGAAAATATTTCTATTCTACAGGAGGCCAATTGCTGTCTGAATAACTCACTAGCAATATAAGAGACTTTTCAACTTCTTGATGCGAGTTTGAATCCCAAAGGAAACATAGGTTTCATCAAAATTATAGATACGCCTTTATAATAGGTTCACGGTTCCTAGTCCACCACTTCTATTTACATAGCATCTCACTATGGCGGACGAGACGTCAAGTCATTAAGAGTAGTAACCACATTGCAACTTGATCGATAGAATCCGACCAGCACTGAACATGAAAAAGCTGGCAACTAATTAATCAATCAATTTAGCATACGAAAGATAGCCTTTCGCCAAAGTATACGGTTTATTTAAGATTTATATAAGATTTTTCTAATGGGCTGATATTCGAGTATACCTCAACCTAGAAATAGCTCAGCGTTAAGTTTAAAAGCAAAATCCTTTTTAACTGTGCTAACACAAATAATGCTGTTCAAGGTGACCGTAAAAGTGATATGATGTTGAATTTTAATACGCCTTTTGTCCCATCATTAAAACACACTCTGGATTTTATAGGAAAATGAAGGGAAAAATGACTCTATACGTAGTTGACTAAGCATACTTAGTAATCGTTGTTCATATATGAAGTGGTTAAAAGCAGCAATTTAAGAGAAAGGTTATTCGAGCATTAAAAAAAACAACTTTTAAACAAATAGTTATTCGTTGGGACACTGTTGTACATTTATAGTTAAATCTCGATTCCAACTTTCGGAATATGCCACAAAGGAAACTATGTTGATAAAAAGCACAAACAACTACTTATCATCTAGGAGGAAGTTGTCTGTTTGATCACAATAACCGTACACTTAAGAAGTTACTAAAAGCATTCATTGATTTAGAGGAATCCAATTCATTTAAATTAGCTCCAAATTACTGTTTATTTGTATATCTCAAAACTGTCCTCTAGTTATGGAAGGAGAAGAATATTAAGTATTTTTCCGAAGTTTGTAAGCCATTAACGCAGTTCAGTTTTTTAATAGTATCAGGATTGTATTTGAAGCAGTAAAAACAGTTATCAAGTTATCATAATTTGGATTAGATACAATAGGTACAGGATAGATACATAAGAAGCACTTATTGGAATATTCCTCTGACCTATAAAAAAGATTATGGTTGCGAAGGGAAAATCTAGCAGTAGAAAAATCTCCAAAATCAATAGAGAATAAACGGATCTGATAGTTAAGTGAATAATGATCTTTAATTCAATCATATAAATACAAGTTCGAACCAACCATGAATTAGGAAGCCTTTAGAAAAATATATATCGTTCATGGTTGAGTTCATAAATTTATATCAAATTACTGAAATCCATGAAAAACCAAATGATAACGATATTCAAATAAAGTAACTTTGAACGTTGTCGATATCATAAACTTTAGTAAAACATAAATTTTCGATCCTGAAAAAAATATTACTTGATCAGTTTGAGACCAATAAAGTAAATTGCATTCTATAACAAATTGGATGAATTTTAATCTGGCTTATTCAAATTGTTCAGATTATATCATAATTTTTAAATGAAAATAATTGTTAAATGTATTCATCAATGTAAATAGTAAACTGTACATTTATGCAAAGTAATTAATTTAGAACTGAAATAATAAAATAAATCATGTTAGTGATCAATTTGTTCCTTTTAAAATTACTCGTCATTATAATATAATGATTAATAGCATTTATTATACTCTATTATTACTCTTAACAGAAATATAACACTTATGAATCTTTTTATTAAACAATACAACACTGATTTTACATTAATTACATGATTCAATTAGTTAATTCACTAAATTTCATAGATCTTCACATTAATCATACTTACCTATATTAAATAAGCATTAAATCTTGTAAATGTAGCTTATATGCTCTTTTTTTTAGATGAACCTTAAAATATTTTAGTAAAATGCTTAGAATTAGTTCAATAAACTGTCTATAGTATTTTAATGAATTTATTATTATTATTCATAAAACAATAATCAACGTAGAATGTAATGTTGAAACAAAAGAAAATGAAAGAAAAGTAATTTGTAACTATGTATGAATGAATGTATGTTAATAAAAAAAAGGTCTTTTAATTACATTAAAATAAATACTTAATGCATTTTGCATGTTATCATTTGTAATTGACGAAACTAATAAGAATTTGTTAGTAAATGAATGACGTTTAATTTAGTTTGTGTATTGGTATAAACAATTGTTACGTAAATGATACTAATTTAAGGCAGGATAATAAGAGATTTTCTGGGGATGTAGGCACAAGATCATGAGTTTGATTTGATAGGTTTTCGAATTGTATCCTACACTTACTGATTATTACTATTATTGGTCTATTTTTAGATGAATTAATAAAAAGGGACCTCAGGTTAGTAGAAGACAATTTAGATCGCGAAAAAAAATTACATAATACTCACAATGTATTTATTCAGTATTTGCTACAATTTTAAGACTTGAATGTACCTTAATAAAATTCCTGCTTATCATTATTAAGATCGTAAAGAATGAAATACAAGATAAAGATATAAAATATTAACTTCTATTTTGTTGACAACTGACTTTTTCATCTTCGCGATCGAAATGTTTCAGATATTTATCTATTTATTATTATAATAAGTAATGAAAACAGGAATTAAAAAATACCAACCATGATGAAATAATTTGATTCATAAATACACATAATAAATTTTGTTTAAAAATCAAAATTCTGTGATTTAGCTTAGGGAGTCACAACAGATTGAAAATGCCTATATCATGTCAAAATATCTTGCTTTCTAGATGTTTCTAGTCAGCTCTATAATTAATGCAGTGGTTGGTTCAAAAAGTATTAGAACAAAACGCGTAATAACTTGCCAGATTGCTAACCACTGTTGATTACTAATCACTTTTATTATAGAAAATTCCTATTTTGACATTTACTAAAAGAAACAAATAGAGAACCATATTCCATCAAATTTATCATATGGTTTACAAGTTCATCTGTTGTATCTTGCTGAAACAGTCGGAATCCCTGTTCATAAACTTAACCTTCGAATGCGTCCGAGAAGATCAGATTTAAATCAAATCACTTTCATCCAGTTCTATTCCACATTTTGTCCACTTAATAACTATGTGGATAACGTGATGGCTTTTAAAGCGAACGGTAATGGGTCGATTGAAAAGGAAATCGTTTGGAATTACTGAAGATAAAAAGGTGGGTAATCAGAGGCTAAGAAAGGAGCTCTAGTTTCAAGAAATAGAGTAGTGAATGGTTTTTCAAATCTTAACTGACCGATGTAGGTATTGCAAACAATAATAGTATTTAACTATTAGGGTATAAGAGTATGATGGAAACGGATTCAGGGAGGTAAAACGAGAGGTCACTTCACAATTCATTAACTGATCTGAAGTGTTAAGTACACAATATCCTTATCGAAAAAATGGTTAATAAAAATGAGTCGTTCTAATCATTAGATGAAGTCAGATAAAAAGACTGTTACTGTCATGGATGATTTGTGAAAAATCCGTTACACTAAACGCATGACTATCGATTACTTTTTTCTTATTTATTTATTAAAATATATTTGGAAATGACCTGAACTGACTTACATAGGGAGGTCATCAGTTATTCCCATCAACATTTCAGAACTTAGTTTAATTCAATTTTTAAAGAATTATTTTTTTTAACTTCAGCATAACGTTATGTATAAATCAAACAGCTATAAATCTATTTTGAACAACAAAAAATCTAACACTGTAGTCTCACGTTTCATAGTGTATTATTTTTAGTCATATGGATATTTTAGTAAAACAAACAAAAGTTTTTTATACTTGAGTAAATCATTCAAAATATCACCTCAAATATTTTTATACTTCATTCGTTCAGTTTTATTTGTTATGAAGAATGATTGTAATATAAATCAATAAAATACTTGAAGAAGGAATTTTCAGCATAATCAATTTATTAAGCTTATCTATTCAATACTCTTAAACATAATGAAAGTAATCCGGCAGTTAAGTAAGATAAACTTTATGTGATCAATTCTATTGTGATAAACATCATAACAAATTTTATCCTATCCTTCCAACTATTCAAAATAAACATAGTAAACAGATAAAAATGATTTTAAATTTTAACCATAAAAATCATTTTAACTATTCATTCATTAACAGTATTTACTTTTTATAGTTAACAAAAGTCAGTGAACCGTTTAAAAGTAAGTAGAATAAATGAGTGACCTGGTCAATTCAGAAAACGCTACTTCATAATGACATGTTATTCGAAAATATTACAAGTAATACTTTCAGTAATTATAATTAACATAACATATGTCCATAAAACTCACGCGCTTTGTTCTACTTTGGACAACATTGCATCTTGTAACAGTACGGCCTCTTTGTGGACCAACTGATTCCGATTGGAGTTCTGAGGTAGTGGTTATGTTTTCGTCATTTGATAACAGTTCAGATATGCTTTTCAGTTCAACGGATGAAGTTGATTGTGAAACATTTGAACTGTTATCAGGAAATATAGGCTTTTGAGTAGCTTCGGAAGTATGTGATTCGTTTTGATCAGCTTGTATTGATTCAGTTAGATGAGTATCCTCATCCAATTCTGCATAATCAACATAAGAACGTTTAATATCAAAATTACAAGTTACAGATATAATTAAGTAAGCCTGCTTATACATGAAAGTACCGCAAACAGCTAATGCACATTCGATAATGCACAAGAGCATTTGTTTCTCATAGGAATGTTAATAATATGACATGTGGAACGATTAAGTTACCATAAGCGTCTAACGTTTTCCCAAGCACTGTGTCAAAGTGTATAAATAGATAATCCAAACAAATACTTCCTTGTTTCATTCAACAATTTAACGGCTCGGAGAGTTTTCATGGATTTGTCGGATTATATTAAACCTATCTTCGACTATGACTTTTTTTTCATATCCAAAACTAACCGAACCTGACTATCTAACACCTAACCTGATTTGTAATGGAAATTACTGTTTATAGTACTTAATTCGTAGTACGTAGGTAAAGTTATAACAGAAAAGTATTAATAAATGTTACATGTTAGAATTTCAATAAATGAATAACTTCAATAAATCATACAAATAATTCTTGACATGAAATAAGGCAGAGATAAGCTGACCTGTAGTAAGATTATTCTACAGCCAAGGGTCCTAATGTTACTCCAAAAGGAACGGTTTTCTCGAGGATTCGCTGGGGAATTTATATGACTTTTAAAGTTATTTACATCCACAGTAAGTGAAAAAATACTGAAACGTTGACCTTATACGTTTTGACGGTTTTGGAAACCAACAACAACCAAAATAATTACATATGAAATCTATTTTCCGGACTTAGTCTTTAAAAACATAAGAATCAGCAAGCTGGAAACACGGATATAAACAATATGTTTATTTGGTATTTAGATGTCAGCAAGAAAAGTTTTCTCTAACTCTAAGTAAATAAAATTTAAAACCGACAATATTGAGAACATTTCTGAGACTTCTAACTTTGTTCATAGGTATACAAAGCTATTTAAGTTGCGTAATTTATTGTTGTATTATCAATGCGACTAAAGGCAAATATAATTCAAGCTAGCAAACCATCCTGTGTTCACACACAGAAGCATTACACTGACCTTGTTTTGAAGATTAGATAGTATATTTTATTTGACAGAAATTACACGGATTTTCGTCTAATTTTTCATTGTAAGAACACTTAAGGCAACTTGACAATAAACACATAAGTAGCATATAAAATTAAACAGCAGTTTTATGCTTGTTTAGTTGTTTATCCGTTATTTCCTTGTAAACAGAATGGTTCACCTTACTACTGTTAAATCTTCTTTTCAGAAGATTATAAAAGCATAACGAATAGAAGTATATTTGTTTATGGCATTGAATGTTTACATTAGTCATAAAGTTTTGCTGATAATCAAAAGCCCATCTTCCCCATGTAGTATTTCAAGTTAATAAATTTAGATGTTCAATAAGCGCAACACAATACAGACAGCTCCATTGGCAATTACTTGTGAACTAACAGAATATTTTACCAATCTTTCTCAACACTTAGGACGCAAAAGAGTCTTTTACTCAGTATTTCAAAAAGTGAAAATAAATCAGAATCACAGTTAGTTATATGCTATGTAATTGATTCATCTTTCCTTTAGGCAAGAATAATTGGTGACTAGTTTGAATTGTTCATTCTTCATTAACTAATTTAGTTTTCTAATCTACTTATTCAGCCATGACGTCCATGTGGTCATATGCACATTTCAGCAACTTGAAATTTACCTTAATAAATAAATTTCCTCATTAACAGATGTTAAAGCTTCTCAATTTATATTCTCTTCTTCACAATGAAGTGCTCAAATATAAAACACTTTGCCCTTTTGTTTTATTTCGTCGGGAAAATTGGATAGACGTACTTTATCTTCCGTTAGTACAGAGACATCCGGGCAACAAAGTTAACTTACATCTGTTATTTTATTACGATCATTTTTTATACTTTATTCTAACTCAGTATATTCAATCAGTAAAAGTTGAGCGAATTGCCTCCTATTAATTTCCTCGGGGATCTCTTAATAACTGCACAAAATTAAATATCTATCAACTTTCATCAAGATACAGGACGTTTCCCAGAATAGTTGTTTGTACGTTGGAAAACCCCATGAAACAATATTATGCCCGGTAAAGTAAATCCTCATACTTTTCAGAGCCCTAAAGACCGTTACATTTTAGTAATGTTTAATAGCAACAGCAATATGAAGACCCAATAGTGTTCATCAAATAAATTTATCCGCTTTACTCTATTTCGTTTTCTTTCTTACGATTTGAAAATTATATAAACATATTCATTAAAATAAAATAAATTCCAATCTTTCTTAGCCATTGTATTTCATTATTATCAAGTAACAAAGACTTGAGGTCAAAAAAACTAGTAAATTATTATAGAACCCTATACAAACCCCTCTAATAAATAAATAATTAGTTGACTAAAATATACTCATCGATAATCATTTCTATTAATCGAACTGAACGATTTTTATCTATTCATCTATGTCTACGAAAGTGCGACTTTATATATGAGTTGAGTACTGAATTTAGTATTTCAATTAGTTTTACTTTAATTGCATCGTTATTATGTGTATTCATGTGGATTTAAACAAAAGGGGATAGAATTTATATTTCAAGAATGAATAAGCTGTATATAGACATACGAATTAATCCCTAAATGACAGGCGAGATAAACATACCAAGAAACATTGAATTCAGATCGATAATAGTTTCCCTGAATCAAAATCGATGTCTAAAACCCTTTGACAAGTTAAAAATAATATTTACTTGGCATTAAGAATAAAAATTGCAAGAAATTAATACCGAATCAAAATCTGTATGTAGTAGATAATGGTTTTAGTGAAAAATATAAAACGTAGTGAGTAAAAAATTATCATTCCCCTTTCCATAAACTAAAACCATATCTTTGTACTCATAATAATGAATATTATAATCCTGATGAAATACCAATTATATTGAAATTAGTTGGTTTTAATCGCTTCGTACATGAAATGTAGAGTTTTCTAACCTAGATTATCCTGTACATGTTAATTTTTAATGCAAAATAAGAGAGCTTTAATATATATGGTTCATCTTTTACTAATAAACTGTGTGTGAATCATCTGCTATAACGCATTAATTTGAAATCAAACATAATTTGAAAGATTGTGCAATAATCTGATAAACCAAAGGTTATACCTGATCATAAACCGTAGTGTATGAAAAAGTACATGCTCAAAAAATAATCATTTTTATGGAAGAATGCAACCAGTCAAATCCAATCTGTCATGAATAACCCGAAGGAACAACAATTGATCAACTTTCTAAATACATCCACTGAGCTTAGATGAACAAGTGTTTTATCGAATCATAAATCTTCAGAGATGAACTTAACACTATCATCCCTTCAGATATTGGATGACAATTAAAACTAAGGAATGGATGGTAGCTAATAAAAAATGGGTCTATAAATTAAGTGTTTGCTTGTCCCTAGCTTTAAATAAATCTTATCTGCAAGTCGAATCATTAATATATATTTTTTGACAATAATATTAAAAAGTAAGGTCACCTTTTAGTGTTCATTCATTGCTAATTTTCCAAATGTGGTAAAACTGTGATCACAGTTACTGGTACAAGCAAAAAGTGTTAGCGTCAAACATCTTTAAAACTGGAACAAGATACTTCATTCAACAATTTATGTTTCTTGCATATGATTAAACTCTAGTACGTTATAGAAGTGTTCAGTAAGTGTACAACGTAATACACTCAATACATCTAACGATTCTTGAATTTCCAAAAGTAGCATTTCAGAAATAAAATCAAAAACATTGCAACAAAATGTTTTAGATAGGTTTTCTGAGAAGTCAACTGTGGTGTATAACATCTTAGTACGATAAACTATCCACTAGTATATAATTACACTTTATTGATTAAATTTCAACCAAGTCATAAATTAAATACTAAATAAGCCACTTAAAAGGAACCTAGTGCTAATATTCTGTATCGATATGAGAGTAATGCTATTTCTATTTACTTAAAAATTGAAACATTGTTATGAAGTTCTTGCCAACTTATTACGGAAATTTTACCAACTGTCTACTTCAAATATAGTTGCTAACGAAGTTACTTTCAAGGATAATTCAACCTAGCTATTACTATATCAGGAAGACATTTGATTCTATCGTCAACATCAAGTAGTCAAAAGAATTAGTTTTCATAGGATTATCAACTTTAATTACATAAATGTTTTTTAGTTATTTATGAAGGTAAAATATGGTAAGAGTTACAAATCAATAAAATCAATCTTGTTTTGGTTAAATGTGATCTGATATAGCAGCAACACAAACACCACAGCATTAATTACAGTGAATATAATCACACAAAAAATGGGATAAATATACATTGAAATCGGCAGTGTTAAATTAACGACGTAAAATTAGTTATTCTTTATTGATTGATGTGTATATTTCATTCATTTAGTCAAGAATTATTGATAGTTTTTGCATGTTTTGGGTTAGTATGTAACAACAAAAGTCTTTATCCTCTGGGTAATAAACAGTAAAATCCACCATCTCTATGATATTGGTTTACTATATTCATCATAGAGAATAATTTTAATGGAAGGGAAAGGGAGAAAAGAGTAGAAAGAGATGAACGAAGTTAGGCAACATTTAACCATTTCGTGTAACTCATATAGTTTAGTTTTACATTTGATGGACTGGAACATTGGGGTAGGAATGAATAATATACATGTATAATTATTTCTCTAGTAGGTTGAATATTTGTTATTACGAGTTTTATGAAGAAAATGTTTTTACACTTTAGCTCCATGTTTGAAAGGCTTTTGTGAAACAAAAGCCAATGGTTCTATGTAATACTGAGTCGTGGAAGTGTATTTCTTAGGAGTCTGTAATCCTAAACAAACGACCTATTAGTCCTTTTCCAGTTTCTCAATATCTGTCTAGTTATTGCCAATTTATGATATAAAAGATATCAGGTATTATGGAATATCCGTTCAGATATAAATTTTCATGGCGGCTGAACCTAATAAGAACTTATTAGTATATATTTTTAACGCAAGGTTGCTTCTGAATAAACGCACGCTAGAAATATTACCTAAACGTTCTTCATAGTGACTAGGGAAAAGTCTAAATAAATGAGATTTATATATTTTTTCATTGAACACCAAGCCGTATTAAACATCCACTTTGTTAGTATAATAACTTCTTCTGTAGCTCTTCTAGGATTATTGTAGGTCCCAGGCCCGGATAAACAAGGAGTGTTGAGCATGTGGTCAGCAACTCCATCCCGTAGAAAACAACCTTGCCAAAAAGCGCTAAGCGGAATAAGAAGATTAAACCATTTAATCTCTGCCCTCAGAGTTGAAGGATCAACATTCAGAAGAATTATGACAACTCTTGGTGAAAGTGGAGGTTCTCTGGAAGTCACGTGGCTGATGCCCCTTCTAACAACAGAGCAAAAATTAATAAAATACGTGAAATGTTTGGACAATGTGGAATACCGGAAGGACCAATCAAATAGCTACGAAACGAGGAGACAAAACCTGGTGATGTTCAGAATAAGTGAAACCCATTGAACCCAAGCTGTACAGAAAAGGTTAGGTACAGGAGAGTTGCTGATGTACTCCTGTTACGAAGAGGAGAATGCTCCACACACTCAGGAAGTTGCTCTGATGCTGTCCAAAGAAGCACGAAATGCACTTGTTGTGTGGGAATTTTGTAGATCCAGGATCATCAAAGCATCATTCAAAACAAAGGAGGGAATTACAAGGAATATTATCCAATGTTATGCACACACTAATAATAGCAATGTCAACGATAAAGATCAGTCCTACGAAAGGCTGCACTCGACTACAGTGAAGTACCAAGTAAAAGATCTGACCGTCCTGGTGGGAGATCTAAACATCTAAGTCGGAATGGACAACACCGAATATGAAGATATCATGGGACGACATGGACCAGGAGAGAGAGACGAGAATTGTTATAGATTCCAAAATTTATGTGCACTCAAGAAAATGTTTATAAGCGACACAATATTCCCAAATAAACGAATACACAAAGCTACATAAACCTCAATGGATCACACTATAGAGGAACGAATTGTCATATTTGCATCACAACTATGCGATGCAACAAAAAAACTAGAAGGGAAACATTGTGAACCAGAGGGACCATCCAAAGACAAATAAGGTAAACCAATCACTGAGATTCAAGAACAGAGGAACAGATAAGCAGAACACTTCGAGGAATTCTTGAGTAGATTAGCTCCAACGAATCCATTGGACATCAAAGCAGCACACACAAACCGTTCTATATACGTCACTCCGTCAACGATCGAAGAAATAAGGTTAGTCATCAGACAAATGTAGAATGGGAAAGCAGAAGGAACTGACATTGTACCACTCGAAACAGTGAAATCAGTCATGGAAATGAATTCAAAGATATTGCACGCTTTATTCATGAAGATTCGTGAAGAAGAACATGTACTGAAAGACTGGAAAGAAGGATATCTCATTAAGATACCAAAGAAAGACTTCTACAATTGTGAGAACTACAGAGGAATCACGCTACTATCGGTGGCAGGAAACTTTTTCAAAAGTGTTACTGAACCAGACGAAAGACTCAATAGACGCCGAACTCCAAGGTCAACAGGCTGGATTTCGTGAAGATCGATCGTGCACAGACGAAATCGCCACACTACAGATCTTCGTTAAAGAGTCAATTGAATGGAACTCGTAAATATGCATCAACATTCTTGATTATGAGAAAGCATTTGACAGTGTGGACAGGAGTAAATCATGGAAACTTCTTCGACACTATGGTGTGCCTGAGAAAATCATCAACATCATATGGAATTCATACGAGGAAGTACACTGCAAAGTCAAGTATGGAGGACAGCTGACAAACTCATTCCAAGTAAGGAGCGGTGTCAAATAAGGCTGCCTGCTGTATCTCTCCCTTTCTCTTACTTCTGGTAGTCAACTGGATTATGAAGACCTCGACATCTGAAAGGAAGCACGGAATACGAGGGACAGCTCGGAATCAACTAGAAGTTTTGGACTTCGCAGATGACCTGTCTCTTCAATACCATATACATCAACAAATGCAGGTCAAGACAACCAGTGAAGCAATAGGCCTCAACATACACAGGGTAAAAACCAAGAACCTCGAATACAACACCGAAAGCACCGAATCAATCACACTGGATGAAGAAGCTCTGGAACAGGTGAAGAATTACACTCATCTAGACAGCATCATCGATGAACAAGGAGGATGGATGCAAACGTAAAGGAAAGGATTGGCAAGGTATGGACAGTATTCCTATAGTTGAAGAACATATTGAACTCCAAACAACTATCAGTCGACATCGAACTCACAATCTTCAAAACGAACATCGAGACAGTTCTGCTGTACGGAGCTGAAACTTCGAGAACTACTACAACCATCATAAAAAAATTACAAGTATTTATAAACAATAAGATAATGAATGTTCATTTGCCTGATACCATCGGCGACAGCCTTCTGTGGGAGAGAACAAACCATTTTCCGACTAAAGAGTAAATTAGGAAAAGACGCTGAAATTAGATAGAACATAAATTGAGGAAATCAAAAAACTGCATTACGAAGCAAGCGATAACTTGGAATCGTGAAAGGAAACGGAAAAAAAGAAGGCCAAAGGACATACTGCGTTGGGAACTGAAAACAGACATGAAAAGGATGAATAGCAACTGGAAAGAATTACTCAGGACAGAGTTAGATGGAGAATGCCGGTAGGCGGCCTATGCTCCTCGACGAGGGGTAGCAGGCGTATGTAAGTAGGTGTGTAATTTTTCATAATAATGAAACTTATAAATGTATGCTTTTAAAAGCAATGGAGTTCTGTGTCACTTTATTATGTTACTAAACGAATATACTTATGACCTATCACGTTGCCCATCTAAAATATAAAAATTAACCTCTATTTACATTCGCTATTTGCTATCACTTACTAAGTAAGAAAGTATGATTTAGTAGTGAATGACTTTTCCGTCGAATATTTAATATGTGATGAATAGTTATGGTTAGGTAAGATCAATTCTCAGTACATACGATCGACACTTGTCTTTAAACTACTGATGACATCATCGTTTCTTATAACGTGAAAATATTAATGAGTAAACTGGTTTATTAGCTACAGGTAACGCAGCTTCTGTGTGATACTTTTTAAAGAACAATACATTCATTTGTTTCCGAAACAGTCGTCTTTTTAGTGGGCGTGAATACATAATTATTTTCAACTAATTCTTAACCTTACAAAATTAAAACTCTGACGTTGTATTTTCATGTTTATGAGTCTCGTATATATTTGCAAACTCCTGAAACTATTCGTCATAATTACTTGTCATTTGTGGAGCAGCTTGAACCAAAAAAGTGATTTACGACCACTTTGATTTAGCATAAAACGGCTCTAAAATCTGTTTTGTTTTGAGAATTATTCCCAGTTCTTAATCACTCAATTAACTAAACGTCAAAAATATTTAAGAACATTAATATACCATTTTACTGAAACAAAACTACCTGGTTGAGCCAAGCAAATCTGCAGACCAGTTGATGATGAATCTGTGATATTTGACGTAAATGCCGCTTCGCTAATACAACAAAATATTTGCCAATTAGTTGAACTTATTAAAGATAAATGATTTTGTGAACTAATCTATAATAAATAAACATAAAAATCAACTATAGTGAAAAAATAGTAGAAAAATAATTAAAACAAAAACTGCCTTCTATCGAATACATTAGAGGAAAAAAAGAAACAGCTGTTAGACTTGATTCTTAATGGCTATCAACAATTAAAAGCACTTCTATATTAATACAAAATAATAAATATTCACTTATAGGTCATCTCAAAATTTTCCACTTTCATTTATTGCGTGATTTTTATTCAGTCATGTAAAGTAAGATATTTCTTCTAACAAATAACATAAAGGAAGTTATTTTCCAAAGTCAATGTATCACTAATAAAATAACAGTGTAAACTCTTGAATTTGTATGTGACTGTATCTCTAAATAGTAGTTCTGTTAACTCAATAGTCGTTAGTTCTAAAAATTTATTGTTTGAACTTATGTATTCAGGAGTTCTTTTTAAATAAAGAATTCTAGACTAAATTATCTTATCCAATCTCTATTCTTACGGTACACTTAATCTACATTCTTAAAAATTCCTTTTTTAAATACCGCTTTTTGCTTTAGTTTTTTTTAACATCAAACACTAGTTTTCATGCTTTTACAGGTTACGTTTTACTTTTCAATGTTTAACTTAAGATGTTATTTCATCAATTTACATATTTGTTATTATTGTAGTATATTCTGTTTCTATGACAACGCTGAATAATTTACACGTTTGATAACACTTCTGGATTCAATCGCATTTATAAGAAAGTCATCTGTATTATCTCTCATAACGATAAACATACTTCTAAAGTTCTATACGTACTTTTATGCATACGTAGAAAGGAAATGAAACACTTGCTTATTATATTACTGTTCTTCAACAAGAATTTTTGTTAAAATCAAGCATTTAATGAATATAATTGACTTTGCTTAATAATTGTTTTGACTGTTGAGAATGTTTATAAGTATTCTTTGAAAAACTCATGGAAGTATAATGAATTTTAATACATTTGCTCGAAAAATTCTAAATGTTTGCATAAGTAGTGTTTATTTACTTACAAATATGTAATTGGCAAAGTTACTGTGTAAGTAGAATTCGTTCTAAAGTAGAGTATGTTTGTTTATTGTTTTTAAATAAGCACTAATTAATGAAATCTTGTTTTGTGGTTTAAATGGTTTTGAAGAAGATTAAGTTAACACACAAAGTTAGTAATTTATTTTTTAAAGCTGTTGTATATATATACAGTTTATTTCAGAAGACCTAAAGTGTAACATTTTCATGAGCCCAAGAATTTTTCTTTAAAGCGTTATGTAACAAATTGTGGAGCCGTTTGTTAACACTGATATTTCTACAATAATTTCTAACTAATCATATATTTATTAGCTACTAATCAGAGGTTTATGGCTCTTGTTAGCGATTCCGGAAGATCTTTTTATAATCCAGTAGCTACAAAATTACTTTTGCGACCTATTCCTAATCCAAAAGTGGTATATAAGAAACATTTCTAAACATACTTTATTTAACAAAGAATACTAAATAACAGTCTAAGGTAAATGTATAAATCTAATAAACCATTTTCAATCCCTCATTCAATGATACTCCATAAAGTTTTCGCGTGAAAATACCTTAACAGAAATAGTGCTTAAGGTTAGTTCCATGATGTTAATGGAGTGAGTTATCTAATATTTAAAATGTTCTAGTTATCATAAGGACCAGTTGAAGCACTCAATTGAGTATGACACAGAAATCTGTGACTTATGTAGAAAGTTCCGATTCTAGTAGCTACATTCTGTGAGCTTAATAAATAAGTAAGTACAAATGTCTCGAACTGTTTATATATTTAAATAGACTAAGGTTGAAGAAAAGCCATTCAACAAACTTTGGAAAGTCCAGATATTATGGATAACGATTGACTAGCCTTACTTATAATATACTTTATAAACATAAATGTTCCAGCTGTGTGGTTTTTAATACATAATATACAAACGAAAACCAAAGGTTTCTAGTATACTTTCTAAAAATGTCTAATACAAGCAGAAACTTCCAAAACTATCACGTCATTCAGTTTAGTGCCCACACTGAGTGTCTAGTTCACAGAATATTGTTGGTACTCCTAGGTAAGTAGCCCTGTATCAGTAACTTTATAATGATCGATTAAATACAATTTGATGTTGAATTGACTAAATTTGTACACATAAATACACATATAAGTAAGCAGAAGGTAGATTTGTGTAGTTCATAACAAATATGAACTTCGCTTCAATATTCATAGAGTAATTTGTTAATAATACTTATAATGTACGAGTTTCAAGTCTGTACAGAACATCTACAACACAGCAACTCAATCTCTCCTAAACCTTATTTTTGTTAGAAATGATATACCTGTTTATCCAACTGCCATCAATAAAAATTATAATTTGCACGTTATTAAAAATGATGAAATCTAAAAATAGTCTCTTTTTCTTGAGTACTTAATTTCCTATTCCAGTGAACGATTATGTCCCTGTTTAGATAACATAATAATGGAAATCTTCTGAATTATTTCACAAATTACTTACAAAGAAGTATATAGCCTTTGTGATAGAAACATCTGAAAAATCACAAAAGTTCACATTTCTCCAAAACCAGTCAACTTGTCTCATTTTTATCAGTAAATTATGAATAACATAAAGAGCTGAGAGTCATTTAAAATCAGTTTTATACTTTTTGAAAAACAGGTATTGACGAAATATGACTTATACTGAATTAATTACAAATCTGTGTGAGAAATAGCATTTGAACATTTGGTTTAAAAATTACTATACTCACCTCCATCTCAGTGACAGGCTGACATGTCCTATTAGTAGAGATAATATCAGACACTTTTTCTGATTCGTAAACCTCGATTTCTTCCACACCGTAGGGCTCCTCCCCGATTATGAATCTATTTGTTTCATTAAGACTACTTCCAAGCAAAGCATTATTGAATGTCTGCTCTGTGCACAAATCTGTTTCATATGTGTTTTTCTTATCACATTTTTCATCATTGTCATTATCATGATCAATCATTTGAAAAGCTGATTCCTTTCGATCTAGTTTTTCTATCTCTTTTGTTTCATCTAATGGCAATGAGCTGTAAAATATATTGGAATAACTGCGGATGGATTCACAGTCAATACATTCATTTGAAGCCTTAAAACGGTGGTGAAGATTTAAAATCTGAAAGGATATTGATTCATGTTCCGAATCTACATTAGCATCGACAAAACAAATATCATTTCCAGATAGCGATTTCTGTTCCAAATGCGAGTCAGATTTTGTTCGTTCAGTAGTTAGAACTTCATTATTCTGTTAATGACAGAGGAAATTAAAAATACATGTTAATGTCAATAAAATCTTTTTTTAGTGAAACAGAATAACAACAAAAACTAAGACTAAACAAAGCTGCAAATATTATTCATACATCTACATTTATCTTTATGGTGTAATCAGAAGGGCTTTTGATCTTTGTAGTACATGGAAAATAAGATATCTTCACGATTTTTAAAGCCTGAATAATACATCGTACACATCGTGAAAACAAACTACACTAGTAATAGTCAAATAATCAGAAGATATTTGTATTGTAACATAAACATATGTCATTTTAAATTTAACTGTTCATACAAAATCAACCATTTATCCACAAATGGTCTCATAGAAACTGTTTTGTTTAAAGTAAATGATGAAGTATATGACGTTTTACACACATATCTGTCTTCAGCTAACTTAATGTATAAATGCATCCAGGAATTTGCCAGAAAATCTATTCATAGAAGTTGAACTTGACCAAAACATATTCACGAGGAGTTTTTTTCGTATATACAAATGATAACTAAATTAAAATTATAAGAGCTGAGTTATTTTAATTAATTACTATTTATTCATATAGTAAAAAGATGACTATGAATGCTGAAGTAATGTATGTACAAGCGCAAATATTTTATTTACGATTATCTTCCATAACTGATTGGACAGAAAATTTGAAAGCAAAAAATGTACTTATACTGGTATTTTATTTTTTATATCTATTTTCAAATGAAAGGTTATCATAAGTTAAAAGTACTATGCTCAAAAAGTGGTATGGATAAAAGTAAATAAATCTATAATCAAGAAAACCTTCATATTATTTTATTTCTACAATACTTGTATTATGTCTGTTTAACTTAGCTGCCTAAACTTCCATTAAGTGATTAAAAGTCAATAATTTCAACCATCAAGTTACAACTTCACAATAATGATAAAATTTAGATAAAAAAACAATGTTTATTGCTATAAATAATTTTCATTATTCCATATCAACAGATGACAGTTAGTATGAAAATTTGAACTGGTAAAATATTTGAATAGTGTATTGATAATCACGAAACAAAATTTGCTTAGTTATTCAGAAAAGAATTCTAGTTTCCGATTTGAATCATAAATAAGTACGCAAAAGAATCGCTAAAACCTAGAAGCACTGGATAGCTGTTTCGTTCTAGTATGGAGCTCCTCAACAGTGAATGCACACGCCCCAGCCAATAAGAATCGAACCGAAGACATCCAGGTCTTGCGCACGAAAACTTAACCTCTAGACAATTGAGCCGGGATTTAATCCTGTTCAAGTTTAACTTTGATCAGTTCTCTATATTACACAACCAATTCTTATCGTCTTTTGTGGGTGACTTGTGCATATGCAGCACGATTGAACTCCATTTGTTACGGCCTTTAACTAGAACTCCGGAAAGTTCTTTTTGAAGCTATTCACTAGTAATCACATCATGATTGTCGGTATGGAAGTTGCGAATGTTTTTGAGATTGATTAATGCCAGAACTCAGTCTAAGTTAGACAAATGTTGAAAACCTTTAACATTGGTTAGTAATTTCAGTAAAATTAAACACTCCCACAGCCCGCATACTGAAAATAAAGAACTGGCCAGATACTAAGCTTTCCTCACATACTTGTTTCGTGCCAGTTGACGACTGTGAGTTGTAGCACTTAAAAGAGTATAAAACAATAGAGTATGTTTGAGGTTAAGTGCAGACCAATGATGGTTTTCCTTTGCTCTTTATAAGAAACTGTCTCACTTTAAATAAAAGTCGTTATGTCATATTGCAAAAATACGGGACTTTTAATAAAAATTTAAGTGGTACAATCGGACAACTAGCAAAAGAAAGTTTTGGTTATTATCAATCGGCTATACAGTCTTACAATCCAGTCCGACGGACATAATATTAGAGACATGTAGCCTAATTTGCTCAAGGGTGTAAATCATATAGGGTTTACTGATAACAAAATTACACACAAAGAGACTTTATAGAACACGTATAATAGAAAAATAACGCACATGAAATCATGTTTGCATAAAATAAATCATATTTGAGACTACATCAATACATTTTTCAAATAACGGTAGACAAATTAACAATTCTTTGAAGTGTTACAATGGAGTAAAAATTAATTACATTATCACATAAATATAAATCATGAACCAGTAGTTCAGTGATTAACCTTGTTGAACTTACCCTAAAAGGTCACGGTATCAACTCTTGCCTTACCTCATCCAATTTTGTCAGCCTATGTTGTAACACTAAGTCTCAAACAAACAGTGTAACATTGTTACATTATTAATATTATTATTATTAACAACAACAAATTGTTAGCTCAAAATCATCATTAAATTAGACCAATTCAAAATTACATTTTTATCTATTTCTAAATTCTTGTCTCCATCCTGTCGACGAGTAACGGAATAATGAGGTGGAACAGGTGGTGGTCGTCGTAGTGCTGTTGGTGGAATATCTTTTGTTGTTGACGTACAAGAAAATTGACATGAATTAGGAATAGAAAGATCAGAACATGGTGAATCCCCAGATATTGCATTTGAAGAAGTTGAATCAGTTGAATTATGTTGAAAGTTTCTACATCTATGATTAGCAGAAACTTCATTATTTATAAACTGATGGCATACACATGAAGTGGTATTTTCAAAATTTTCTATAAATTAAAATAAAAATAGACTTGTTTTAGTAAAAAGTGAAATATGCTACAGAATATTATGTCCGAAAAGTCATCGGTAGTATCAGACCAAAGGAAATTAAACAGCTGTATGTTAGTTTATAAAAGTGCTTATGTAATGAAAATTATGAACTGATCAGTTTTAGGCCACTATTTGAAACCTGTGAGTACTGAACAGCCGGACGGACAATGAAAGACAGTCGCACACTATCGTGGATTGGTTGAAGTTAGACGTTAACACCATTGGATTCCGGCTCACTGGTCTAGAACTTAAGAGTTTGTGTGAGACCAAAAGGAACAACTGAGGGGTCCCCACACTAAAGCTAAACGGCCGTCAAGTGCTTCAAGGTTTTCAATGGCGCTTCATGGTCTCAATAAAAACTCAATGATCTCCACAACCCTATACCGATAATCCTTTTTTTTCTTTTAAGCTATTTTCACTAATACAATATTTTATTTATTACATTTATATATTTATACTTAATCCTTCTATCTTAAATCAAAAATTATTTAGTACAAATAATTTTAGGCGTTGTATTTCCAGCCAAACGTTTTACATTGTATCATGTAAAAACCAAATACAACCTTTCAGCATACAAAAATTACACAAATTCTTATTTCATATATCATTTGAATAGAAAACTTATGCTGATATTCAATAGGAATGTAATACACTATTTTAAGATGTGATTAATTTCTAATACCTTAGCGAAACTAAAAAGACTTATTGTTTTCCTAAAAGAACATTATTAGACATAATTGATAGTCAAAGGATATTTTGCTTCCATATAAATAATAGTGGCATTAAAATATTACAATATGATTTGAAAAGAAGTTTGCTTAGTTAGGGTAATAAATTAATACAACACTTCAATACATTTATTTGCAAATTAAGTTATTTATCACTGATTATTTGTTTGAATTAGGAAATTTTACCAGTTAGTGATTTCATGACTGAATTATCAATAAGTAATACTTGGTAAAAAATATGGTAATTAATCAAAAATTTATCGTACGAAACCTATTCATCGATATCGTGAAAACAAAAATGCCATAAGAAACTAAAATAATTGATTTAATGGAATATATATTTGAATCAATTTTCTACAGACTGACGTTGCACAGTATATTTTCGATAGATTGGGTGATTATAAAACGAGATGAATGACTGTTAAATGATATACAATTCTTCCATTTTAATTTGATTAAGTTCTAAGTTTCTTAAAAACACTTTATACAATAACTTTAAATGTTGTCTTCAGTAGTTTAGCATTGGTCAGAAATAATTTTTAGTTTTAATAGTACTTCATAGGTCAGTACAAATAAGTTATTCCAGAATTAACGTTTATCTTGAGCTAATATTAAAACAAGGAAACCAATAGACAAATATTTAAGCAAACACATTTCATACGACAGATATAGTCCTCTTAACAGATGGTATAAATTACAGTACAGTAACCCTACAAAATAACTTACACTATAATTCAAATAGGAAAAGTGTTATAATAGCTTTATAAACATAAGTGAAAATAATTCAATATATAAATATAAACGTGAAAGTCCAAACAGTACTAGACTCTTGAATTTAACGGTGAAAACAGTAACCATATCAGTATTATTGCATTTTTATGAAATATGAACAGTGTTACTTTAACTCCTAAGAATTAATATCAAATCTCTTCATTAAAAGCCAAAATAACATTCTGAAAGCGAATAAAAATTTTGTCTACTAAGATAAAGTTCTTATTACATAAGATTTTGGTCAATAGCTGATATTGTAATCTTAATTAGTAAATGTAACAAGCGTTGAATTTTATTAAAAGTTCTATTCTAAAAAAATTCGTGTATTTTATCCATTAATTAATTAATTTGAAATTCAATTTAACTAAATCTTAAGAATATGAAGACATATTGGTACATTTTTAATAGTTGCATAAACCTGTGATTTATTTTGGTAAAATGTACACTGTTGTTATAATTCTCTCTTATTACAACCCAGCTATTCCTATTGCTTAATATTATCAGACACCAGTTCACTCGACAAGTCCCCCAAATCAGAACATGGTTGAACAGGAAAAGAGATTGTATTTCGAATAACAAGGTTAGATGGGAGTAAGAAGCACAATAGGGAAAACGTTAGTATATTTATGGTTTTCACATGAGATTTCTAGTGTTCACTAAGTATTGACTAACGCTGATTGGATAAGAATTAGCCAATCAGCGTGCGCCAACGCAAGGGTGCATTGAGCATGATGTAATACAATCTATGTCCCGCTAATAACTGCAAAAAATTACCCTGGAATCACCTTAATCATCTTACTTATATCTACATTTTGATAAACATCAATACATTAATTACATTACACAATTTTTTTTCTATACATATGAATAAGGCAAGAAGGACACGACTCAGAACAAAATGAATTGATTATTTACTCCATGTGCTCTCACCAACTGCTTCAAACTGAATTCGTATTTAAATAAAACACAATATTTAATCATGAACATTGAATATTGAAAAATGGAATTGACAAACATTATCAGCACTATATATTTGTGCATGCATACGGTCATTTGAAGGGAGATACAGAAACAATGATATTCAATTTTCTTTCTTGTTTATTCATTCAAACTTCATGTGCATATAAACCTACATACATACAGTAGATAGATAAACAGACAGACATTATAACCTTCCTAAAGTAAACATTTTTTCAGTTCATTAAAATATCCAATAATTGAACAGTATATTATCCGTTTAATTAAAAATGTCAGTTATTCTCCTAATGATGTGATCGATCATAGACAGCTGAGGACTTGAGCCTAATCTTCCACACTGTGAATGGTATAGCCGAAATCAAAACTAAAATTTTGTGAAACACTAAATTTCGTAAACTAAGAACAAAATTGTTGCAGATTGAAACGAATTTTGTTCATCTCATGTTCTCTAAGTCCTTTATAATTCCACCCATAATTTTAAACTAAATGTTTTACGAATGTGATTTCATATGAAAAAATATTTAGTTTACGGATAAACAATAATTATAATTACTCTGCTTGAAAACAGGAGTTAAATTTATGTGGGAATATGATCAGCGTGAAAGACAGTGAAGATAAAACACGGGATTATAAGCTTTATATCATTGACAAAATGCTATATCGAAGTAATTGTGATGAAAGAGGAAGTAATGTTTCAATGTGGTATGAAAGTTTGAAAAAAGGGCTAGTACGTACATGGGTTAGCAAACCTACAGTGGGAAGGAAGATGTAGAGTTTTCGTATAAATTATTTGTGAAAGCAAACAACCATTAACAACAGCCCATCTATCATTTCATCTTACAATGTTTGCTGTGTTGTTGATATCTGGAATTAATCTAGAGAACAAATTATATGAAACTCGAATTTATTGGGAATGTTTTCGTGTATGGAGACGAAATATTCTTGTTAATAAAAGATTAATCATATTTCACAATCTATATATCCATTACTCTTCATAATGAGTTCATAACTATTGGAAATACATTAGATAATTATTCAGAAATGCATTCCATATTCATTCGCTTTGTTTGCATAATCGATTAAGAAGCTCTTTAAAGTATCGTGTGATATTTTGAATACTATTCTTGTTAAAAGATAACTGAATGAATAGAAAAAAAAACTAAATTTGGAAAAAAATCTATGCTAAAATTAAACAGTTACTAACTAGATGAAACGGAATAAAACTTAAAAAAATAATCTGTTTCATCGTTTATAAAATAATGTCCAAATAAAAATGTATTCAAATGACTTAATCTGTTTTTATGCTCTCGTTACAATAGACTGAATAATTTATTACTCTTATCGCAAAAACATTGAATCACACTAAATAAATCTAGTATACAGGCATCTCGATTCACAATGCATATAAATTTCCATGAATTCAGTTTTTGACACAAACTATTGATGACCAGGGAACACAGGACATTTGTTTAATTTTGGTCTGAAAAGTACTTTGTAATGGATAGTTACCTAATATAAGGTTATAAACAGTAACTCCAACTTTTACAATAACATTGCTAATATATAACTATGAGAGCCAAAATAAACCATTTTTGTTTTTGTTAATATACAGATGTACAAAGACTTGGATAAGTGTGAATCTACGGAAAATGGATTTGTAAACTAACCTAAAGGCAGAAAATAATTCAAAGTAGCATTTAACAAAAACATTTCAACGATCTTTTAAATTCATAAGCTACAGAGGTAAATAAAGGATCATATTTAACAGATTAGAACCACATTGGTCGATATTTTAAAAAAAACCCAGAGGAAACAGTAAGTTTTTGTTTAGAGAAGTCAGCAAAACACTGGTTATTTCAAATGGAAAGTTGTCAACAGCTTCGTTTTCGACAAAAGATTGTTATTACTCTAGGCTAAGCTGCGTATTAAATTGTGTACTGAATGTAGTAAGTAAGTGAATATTCAAATAAGATGAACATTCACATTCTTCTTCAGATTTATTTGAAAAATATGCATATCAGCGAAGAAACTTTATTATATTACATATAATCATTAAATTGTTGGTGACATTATTTTTATAATTAAACACACTTCAAATGCACTAATCTAGATTCATTTTTAATTAATTTTGCGTACTTCAAATCCACCACGAAATTAAACGCATATCATAATTTTGTTAAAGCATTGCCGTTATTAATTGTGAAAGCTGTATATCACTACTCAGAAATTATCATCACCAAATACAGATAAATGACATGAAATGTTGAATATAACTGATACTAATTAATTTTTCTTTATTCAAAGAAATCCTAGAATTTTATTTGATATACTGGCTAGGCTCATAATTAATAGGAATTTCAGTTATTCGCAGAATTTACCTAAGGATTAGACAAGAGAAAGACCACACTAGTCATATAGGGATGCGTTATCAAGAATGTACGTCAGTTGCTTTATTAGTAGGAAGCTATTTAGTTTTAACTTAATATAATGATGAATAAAAGACTAACTGGGACGAAAATCTTGACTAGTAATATTTGATCATGAAATATAATCAGTATAACAGTAGACATACTGATCAGTCTTATTACCAATAGTTTTAAAGCTCACGACGTCAAATATACTAGATCGTCACCAGTATGCTAAGTACTGATTCAACAACAAATAACATATTGACATAGATGTTCCTTCTGTCGTTATAGAATCAAGGTCTAGTAAATTCATAGAATGTTCATCTTATTACTTTTCTATCAATAAATAGTCTAATCATCTATTTTAACAATTGCAGATTAATTCAGCTTTCAGTTTATCTCAATTTGTTTTACAAGTAATCATTAGGTAATAATTATAAATTAGTTTTACAAGTAATCTCTTCCATTTTTTTCGATTAACTTCTTATTCCTAAATTTCCTCATTTTCTTGCAATGATCCTTAGATATAAAGACGAATTCCCTCATTTCTATTAGTTAGTTTGAATTCATAGCAAACGAAGTTCATGAACACCTGTCTTTAAAAATGATGAAGTAACCGACTAATTGAAATGAATACTTTTCAAGACTATGTACGACAACAAACAGTATAATTTAGTAAAGTATTCATCTAGTAACTACCACATTGAGATTGCTTACATTTCATACATACTTAGACGTTGTTAGTTGACTAAGACATTTGTTTTCCCACTCATAATCCTGTTGTAGAATTCGACTGTAAGTCAATAAAGTAATACCATTTATTGTCATACTGCAAGAAGTCATATAGTGCCAAAAATTCAGACTCACAAGTGCAGTCAATCAATACTTCGTACTTGCTACAGTTAATGAGGAGAGGAACAATAACCTTCTATTGCTAAAAGACGATTATAAAGAAGTAGTTGGTAGATTATTACATATTATTCGTTTATAAGTTATATAATAAAATATATTGATAATTGTACTTAGCAATCTAAGGATGGTAATCAGCTAAAGTTCTTTCTTATAAGTGATAGATTAGGTTCTACAGTTAAATCAAATGACCAGCAGATATCTATCTACCCGTAATATTTATTTGGAACTATTTAAATTTAAGTGTGTTTAAGACGTTCGAATATAGCATTATTCAAAGTTCTTCTTGAGATTGATTTTTTTAATTATCTCATAGGTCTAAAGTAACTAATATATAACAACATTTTAACGGATGGTAAGCATTGTTCATTTCATTATAAATAACAATAATAGACTGATTATTAATGTACTAATACTGTTGTTTGACTATCGCCTGTGTGTACGCAACATTTCTTGGTTCATCTATCAAACAGACATCTGTATTCTTATGTGTAATTTGACAAATAAGACTGATTTAATATCTAGGTTATGTTCATATAAGACTTGTTTGGTTGTCAGGAGCTTAAAATCTTCCCAAGGATAAACAAATCATTTCACAGTTTCTTTCTCTCTCTCTCAAAATCTTAAGAGAACTGAACGTGCAGTATATCCTGTCTTACTACAATTTTATTATGAAAAGAATAATCACAAACCAGATAATAAGGGTTCTGTTTATTTTTAAAAACAATGCACAGGATATAATTTATAAGATTTGGTTGCATTTTGCCAAACAAAATAATATGTGATAATACTAATACAAATTGGGCGACAGAAAGACGGAGAGATAGACAGGAGCAAAAGGTTTTTCGATCATATATCTAATTGATTAGTTATTCATACTAGAAATCGAAATAGATAATTGGGAGATTTTATCATGACATTATTGATTACTGAAAGTACAAATTTACGAAGAAACTGATAAAAAAAATTAGAGTAGGTAAAATTAATTAACACATCTAAATGACTTCTTAAAATATCTAATCTAAAACACAAGAGCCTACACATGCTTTACATCCAATGAACATAATCAGCTTAATACGACAAACGTTTCACATAATATAGTTAGTAATGAAATCCAAGATCTTTATTCCCACTAAATTTGCAACTAACGAAAAATTTGAATTTATTTCCTGTATCTTGAGTAGAATAATCGTTTTTATTGATTATTAGGAACCAGGAATTATATAAAAATTTCAGCTCTTTATGTTTCTTATTACCAAAATTGTCCAACCTGAGAGCAGATTTATGCGTACATCAATCACATTTGTTGTATGATAACAATCTTTCAATTTTTATACTCATGTCATAGCATAAAGAAATATTTACCCTTTCTTGGTAAGCATAATAAACTATATCTGACAGGACCTCCGTACATAATACTCGTCCAGTTTTAATTTGTCGTAAAGCGCAGTTTTGTTTAGTCAATCTTAGTCTCCAGCTTCACATTAATAAGAGCGAAAACAAAAGAATGACCATCAAAAAGGCCCACATGAACAAGGTAGACAATCGAAATGAGGAACAACATTTTTGGATCTTGGAGTCTGTACGAACAATCAAAAACGTAATTTTCTAAATGTCTAATAAAGAGTCTACTTTCAACAAATGGTGTAATTTTTCAATTTTGGTAACAACGTTTTATTCTTATCAACCCAGTCATGTTATCTCGTACATCTATTTGAAACAGCTAGATGGTAATCTATTTAGATAGATGTTTTAAAAGTGTTTCAGTAATGTTTGGTGAATTTCAGGTTTAGTGAGTCTTAAATGTCGAAAATGCCTTTCTCTTGAAATTAAGATAATCGTATACGACATTCATCATTACCTGTATTCCCCTTCACATTGACCTTTGTGCTCTCCGGTGAAAATTAACGAAATTTCGTTCAGTAGGTTGTTGACATCCATAGTAATAAGAGTCAAATAACTAGATTTTATTTAATATTATTGGTATTAAGTAGATGAGCAAGAAAAATTTTATGGAATTACTATTATTTATATGTCAAATAATCATTTATTTAAATTCAAACAATACTCAGATTTACGCGTGAGACGCAAAAACATTTAAACAGTTTTTTAAAACTAGTTAACTTAAATTATAGATACAATAACATTACAACAATATCTTATAAATCATTCCGCTGCAGAGCTGTTAGTGGTTCATCATTTCAAACTCGAGCTGTGTATTTAAAAGTGTCACATGAAAGCTGTCATCATACCATGACTTCAACACCTAGTTTTTCATTTATAATCAAGTGGTTATGGATACTTTAAGGTTTTCAAATTTTAATAGTGTACCAGGAAAACGAAGATTATCAGGACTATGTAATATATATACAGCCATTTCGTTCTATTTTATGTTTTGCAGAAGAGAGAAAGACGAAACGTGACAAATACAAAAATAAAAAGAATACCAAATGTAGCTAAGTAAGAACATGCCTTCATTTACGCTTACATGAACACAGAATGGTCAAAAAGCTGCATGATTTTTTACTACTGATATTATTGCACGTCGACAGTTATAGATAAGCATTTGTCTGAATAGGCGTCAAAATGTTAAGCAGAGAAAATTCTAAGAATATCTTATAAGCATGGCATTTAGACTAATCTACATTAATCCTTTCACCGGCTCATGCGTAAAAAGTCAAACATCATCGAATCCAGAGGTCAGCCAAACAAGATAGCCTACAGAAATACCAGAACAAATGAAGATGACGAAATCTGCGAAGAAAACCAAGCTAAGACAAGATCATTCGAACAAATTAGTTTAAAGCTTGTGGAATAACCAAAATTTTCACTTCCACATGAATTACGTGCCGATGAATTTTTCCAGAATGACAATAAAGGACTCCCAACTAAGCCACTGAATTCAGAGAACAGGTAAACATCAAAAGTATCCATCTGAGCTTCAAATCTTCCCCTCAATCTCAGATTCCTATTTACATGAAAATAAATTGTTGGCTCGACTAGGATAGTAATCAACACTTAGTTCTAGCATATAATATAAAACATAAGTCTCATATAATATTTTGTATCATTCCTGAGTTTCATTGATTATTGGTCATATTTGTAAAACAATTATTCTTATTATTCTTATCGTTGTGAAATATTATTATGAACATGAGCCTTCTACTGTACACACAAATTAAATGCAAACAACGTAACTTTACCACTACTAATAAACATCTACACTTTCAGTCACACTAGTCAGTATTTCGCCTACTCATTCTGTAATAATAAGATTTCAGTGATAAGAAATTGCATCTCAAGTGTTCACTTACCCCAGCAATGTTCTTCCGTCATAATAAACTTTTGTCTCCTAGCCCGATGTTTAGCCGTATCGTAACACTGCAAAACTTCGATAACGAGCTCTGGGTTTTGCTCACGCTCTTGAAATGATATATTAGCGGCATGTAACCATTCCAACCACTCCTCAGGCATTCCCTGGAAGAAAAAACTTATTAAGTGGGTAGTCCACTTTACTAATTCGTTGAAAAACTATGGTTAACATTCAGATGTAAAAAATTTAAATGTTTCTGCAAAACTTATTAAGAATATGTATAACATATAACTGGACATTTAAAAGTTATTACATGCATTCAAAAAGCCACAGTAAAACAATCAAAAGGAATGCACTTCTGATATTGATAAAAGCAAATAAAATACCGTGTTTCCATTCTGTAGATATTCCTTTCCTTACAATCAATTAAAAAGAGTCAGTGCCCTTTACATTAGGGCAGTGTTTATCAAAGTTAAAAAATAGAGATTTTTTCTGTTTTATTATGGTCTTCACTATAGATGCACATATGTTTAGATACAATTAAAAATTAAAAAGAAAGGTATAGACGTCTTCTCACGTACAGAACTTCCACAGCTAAACCGAAGGTTAAATTCCTGCTACATAGGTCGTGTAGCTAACGCTTCACTTCTAAATCGCTGAAATAAAGCCCAACAATCGAACCGGCCAACTTCAGTTGGGTTGTGAAACAACGTAACAGTTGTCTAATATCATTGCCAAACTCCGATAATCACAAATTCTCACTTAAACCAAGTTGGTTCACCTCAAAGTAAATCACTTGTGGGTGCACTATTGTATTTTTTCCAAGAGGTTTAGACCATATTAGATCGATTTGCATGTGGCGTTTGAAGCTATATCAACAGGAGTTTGTGAGTGAGCTTTGTTGAGTAATCACTTACTACTGTAAAGCAATTTGCACTGAAACCAAAACTAACGACATCGTAACAAATACGACATATAAGTTAAACTAATTTCTATGAAACCTAGTAACAAAATTGCATCAAATTTATTTGCTTGCATTGATCACAAGAAAAGTAAATGAAATTTTCTTAGGACACTATTGATTGAAGTTTCCGTAGACGGCCCATCACATTTCGATGTCAAACAGAGTGAATTATAGAATATTGTACTTGCATGGTATGGAATGCCATGGGATATGCCATATAGAATAAAATGAAATGAAAAACACGAACTTGTCTTCATTCATACTGTTAGATGCAGACATACATTAAGCTCAAGACGAAAGTACATTAAGACCGAAGAAAGAGAGTCAAACAACCACTAATCAAAACCAATATAAAATTTATCAATGGTCAGAATTGTCTGGAAAACCAGATAAAGCTAAAAAGCAATAATAAAGTGTTTTCTCATTCAATAAACTATCTAAAATGTGCGCACGTCAACTCAGTGTCGGTTCAGTAAAGTTTCTTATCCTTTCGATGTAAATAACTAAAACTCCAAGCACCAAAGCATGACCGATCAAAGTTGTTAAATTTTCCCGTCTAGGAAATATCTGTTAGTGATCTTGACAGCTATCTACATGAGTAGTCTTGTCTGTTTTAACTTATTGTTGAAGTTTTAGGATAGTTTATTATAAAAGAACAGATGAATAACAGTTGTACAGTTAAATTTCAATTAAACCTATTGATCATAAATACAAAACACTAGGAGCCAACGGATGCAACAATAAAAATACAAATGAACTGGTAAATTTATTTTCATTTTTTCAGAAACTTACTCTGAATTCTCCGGTATTTTCATCATAAACCACGTGTAGTTCATGACTAACGCATAACGGAGAAGAAATTTTCGGATCACTAGTCAGTTTAGGTAACCTGAATAATCTAACTACAATAAAGTGAAATTAGTTTACTTAAATATGTGACCAGAAGTTAACGAACTTAAAAATCAACGAAAATTATATATATTTCTATCTAAATAGTCGTTTATGCACGTCCAAGGAAGCTATATAGGATTCAAGCAATGAAGGATATTTTATTATGTCTCTTTTTATACAGTATATACAACAATCAGAATTATCCGTGACCTATAAACCAATGTATTTAATCGCTTGAACCAAAGTACATATAGTTTGCAATAGAATGGTTGTCAAAGGATAGCAATATTGAGTTTTGAATTTTAATTCAGTGATTGGTTTTAAATCTGTAGTCCGGTTATCCAAACTTCTAAGAATCAATTTCTGGATCACATTTCAACCTTTAAGATGCAGAAGTGAGACCATATAAATGGAAAGATTTGGTAGACGTAACTTAGACAGTTATGAAGCCCGTTTTGGGATTTTCTTTCTACTTACTAATTTATCAAAAATTTCCAACGAATACGAAGACAGCTTGGAGCTTCAACACCATTAACAAACAGCAAATATAGTAGAATATAGGGTCGTTAACGATGCTTGCCTTTGGTATTTTTGATAGAGTACCTTTCTGTTTTATCCATGAACAGAGTAAAGCTTAAAGCAAACTAATACAATCAATTTTAATTCATCTTTTCTAATTAAAGACAGCCGATTTTTAGTATTGCATAATTTATTCTATTCCTTACACGGAAAGTTTTTATTAACATTTCACTGCCTAAATGCAAGTGAAATTGTATTATAAACAACGGAATAAACGCTCTTCTAACTTTTTCGAAAATTTTCAAAAGTACTTTCATACTATTAGTCCACCTCGTTTCAACTGAAAATGATAACGTTTCTTGGGTTCCGAATTTCTCCATGAATAACTAAAGGCATTTTCCCTGGTGGATAAAATGGTTGTAAATAATATAGCTACGTTACATTACTTGCATTAATAAAGATATCATATTTCTTGACCAATAAAATTCAGTCACTGGTCATATGTGACAACACCGGTATTTTAACAGAGAATTAGTTGACCTAAATATTCCAGAAGCGAGACGCTTAACTAGAGAACTATAGAAAACCAGCAGGCTTCCAAAATAACAGTATTGATACATAAAATCGTTCTAATTGCCTCAGAGCACATGATATTAAGTAACATATGGTAAGATGTGTAGGAAAATCTAACCAGCAAAAATATTTAGACGGAGCCTGTTAATATTTCAAGACAACCGTTCGCGGTTTTTATATTTCACAATTACATTACTTTCATGAAAAGCTTTTGGTAGGCTATTGTAGCTTCGGATAGCGTTTTGAAACGTTTCTCATATCATTTATTTGTTGATGAAATAATTTTCAAAGACAGTTATGTTCCTGTTTTTAGGCCTACAGCATTTATGCTAGAAATAAAAAGATTTTTAGAGTTGTACACGAGCATTATTTAACGAAATAAGCTAGATATTGTCATGTAAAACCACAATAGGGAAAAATGCAATCATATGATATGAAATTACTTCTGCTTCTTCCAGCTTTCTTTGGCAGATCTGGGAGTGGTTTTTTGGGTGCAACCTTCAAGGGATGTCGATGCCTAGAATTATTGAGCATGAATGTATCAGACTTAACTTACATAGTGCTGGAAGATCGAACTGGTGGTTCGGGTGGTGTGCAGCTATGAGATAGACTCAAATCCTGGGCATGATATAGACATATAAATTAAAAATGCATACCTCTTCCATAATAGCTTCCAATTACGAAAACATTTATTTCTCCCATGAGTTTAGGGATATAATTGGCTCTGTAATCTGAATAAATAAACGTGAGTTTGATGGAAACGTTCGAAAATAGGCAGACTATATTTAGGTAAATGTTCTGTTTACCAAAATGAGTTTTGATAACAGAACTTATAACCATCCATTACCTAATAAATCCATAATTAAGCTACTTTAACCTAATGGATATCATATGCTTAGTCAGAGCTATTCGATAATTACTTTAACTATAGTAAGGTTGTGCTTGACCGCGTCCTAGTGATGCAGTGTCAGGTAGAAATAGGATGTGGAACTTTCATAGTTATTATAATTTGAATACTACTTCGAAAACCCACTCCAACTATTCTTGAAAGGCTGTTAACTAAAATTGTGGTTATTAAGAGAAAAGTTTCCCTAAATATTATAACAGAAGCTTTAAGTAAACTACTTTCAGTATCTATTCACTTTTATTTCAAGCACAAACGACTAATAAAAACCTATTTTTAAGTTTTGGACAGAGAACAATACGAATGGAAAGGATTTTTATACTTCATGTGCGTCAACGACGCTCATCCAAATTAAATTAGATGATGAAGAGTTCCAAAATATGCTAGCTACGTATTTTTAAATAGACAGACCGAAAGCCAAGAAAGTAGAATGAAATGTCGGACTTTTTGTCATTAGTTTTGATATCAGCTCAATAAGAATCATTAACATTCCAGATGAAACATTCTTAGTAGTCAGTGTTGAAGTACAAGATATCGAAAACAAATTATGGCTAATTTTAACCTCATACAATTCTAGGTAACAACCTAAATAAATTTAAAGATGTGAAAAATATGACTTTTTTTCTCGAACATAAAGTCACATTACTACCTCACAGTCGTACAATCACTTCCAGATACTTTTAGTAAGCTGACTTTTCATTGTTGTTTAAGCTCATTTATTCAAATAAACAAGGCAACGTGATAGAAACTTGCACAAAAATTCTTGGTCCGAATCACCGGGCACCAAGAAACCCGAGAACAACAGACAACGGCGGTAACCAAGGGAGTTTAATAAAAAGAGGAAGTAAATTATGTGATATGGAACAAAAAGCAAAGAATAATAAAGGATTCATATTCTTGAAAACATCATTCACAAAATTTTCTGTGGTTTTTGTTTTACATCTTTTCACCCCAAATATTCAGACGCCGAGCTCTAACTCAAGTATCTAACCACAAATCAGTAGATCTATCGATTTCTTCCATACTTTGATTGACTTACATTTGGCTATATCCCACAATAGTGGCAGTGTAAAACAATCCAACACGTGATATAACGTTTGTTTATAGAGCATTCACAATCAGTGAAACATGATCAAAATGAGGTAGTTGGCATATCCAATCTATTTATAAATCCCAACAGAATAGACAACTCTAATGTATCAAAATTGCTACAATTTTAAGATATTCTTAGCAGATAATAACTAAGTTATATGGGACGGTAACTTAATGATTAAGGTATTCGACCTTCAGCTATTAAACCTCTTGTTTATACATTTCTCTGTCCACTTCAGCTTTGGCAGCCAAGTGATTTTATTGGTCCTCACAATTAGATCGTGACTGGTACCAGAGCAATCGGTGAATGGGTTATTTTAAAGTTAAGCTTCAAAATTAACTTATACCAACTTGCTAATTGACATACATAGGATATTAAGAGATGATACTTATTAAGTGTGGGTACAGATAAACGTTACTTATTGTCTTAAAATTCACCACAAACTAAATTTATATAGAGTAACAATGGGTTTCACGGCGAAAAAGATGTCAAATGGAAAAAATCATATGAAATCAAGACTTAAAGTGTTGTTGGAACTTTATATATTCAAGGACGAGTAGTATCCCTGAGGTTGAATTTCATATGTATTGTTAATTAATAGCTTGATACAGGCGGATATTAGATTTAACTGACTAACACCCGACAAAAAGTATAATTTTGGATAAAAGCAAATAGTTCTTCTTCCCAATGTTAATCGTAAAATATACAAACAATGCCACTAGGGCGAGACTTCATCTAAATTTTTTATATAAATGCACTTATTCGGCATATTCTCCTCAGACAGTAAAAAAATTTTGATAACTCTTATTTTTTTGTCTCTTTCCAGGTAAATCCTTTAACACACTTCTTAAGTAAAACTAACAGCGCGTTGGTAAGAAAATTGTCCATTTGGCAAAGTAGATGTGTAACGATGGGCACGTGAATGGCAGTTCAAAAGAACTTTTCATGAAGAATGAGTGGCGTTTCAGCTAGTCGGTCTGCTCATTCCTATGAAGAAATTAGACTTTTTCTGGCGCTAAAGAATTTCGAATGCTTCGCACTTTATGTGAGGTGCACTTTTCAACTTCATAAAAATTTAATCAACCTTTAGGATGGCCACAAACAAAAGCCACCGAATAAAGTGATTTACATTAAAGCCAACGTACGAAATGGCCTTAACAATATGGATTATTTAAGACCGTGATCATTGACGTTCTTTGAAGCAAGGATCGATAAGTTCTGGTGAATGGGTTTTACAATGAAATCTGTAGAATAATATATGATAAGACCAATCTTAAAAACGCACCAGAGTAGAATGAAGACAGAATGGTGTCAGAATAATTTGTTGTACGACATCACGTAATCTCATTTTAATTTCAAACTGAGAGCTTCTGTCGTACTTTGCAAGTTCAGTTGTTTGGACTTACTACAACAATAGCTTCGCCAACATATACTATGTGAACGACATATACAAAATGAAATTCATTAGTCATGAATATTTTTCTTGAGTTATCGGCACTGCTCATAGCGAAATTGAAGGTCTAGGTTAATTCTTTGAGGACAAAAAGCCTGAGAATTGTTTTTGCATCTTTCAGGTTTGTTTTGGGGCCTGTATGGCCAGTGAAATGGCACTGCGCCCTGACCAAATCATCCATCAGTTGGGTCACTGAATGTCGAACAGTCCATCGTTCCACGTAGGATTAAGGACAACCAACGCGCATTAATTAATCGTACGCCATGGACTAGCCTATGAGGTGGTGGTCGTACTATCTTCTCTGTACCAGTTTTCACTATTATATTTCCGTAAAAACGTTCTTTGTTTTATGTGGTCTTCAAGGAAATCATAGTACCTTGATGCGACTAAGGGGTAATCAACGTTAGGTGCAGACCACGAGGTATGACTTCGAAGTTATCTGGTTCATCAAATCATTCCCGTCTATGTCGATTAGACCGTCAATTATTCGACATAACTCGTCTACGTTAGTGATCTACATGCCGATCTACGTTTTGCCAAGTACCTTATTCAGTGTCACAGCTGGTTTCATAGCGGTTCTGTGAGTCATTGCCACGTGAACTGACAAGCTGGATCCACTTTTTTTATTTGGCCTAAAATAATTTCAGAGTATCCCGGAGGTTACAGCCTCAGTGTTTGATAAAGTAAGTCGAGCATCAATAACTACTACGAAATTGTAGCCTCCCAAACAACGGAATTTTCAGTGTGAACAAATGTAGGCTAACAGTGAGTTCGAGAATGGGGGTGTTTGAAAATATATTTGGGAGGCTATCGATATGTCGTGGGAACGTTTGATCTAATCTAGCTAGCAGTTGTAAGGGATGCGTAACACGGATTACCCATTCATGATCCGGTGCGGATGCGTGACTGATCACCTTCAGCTTGATATGTCTAGTAAAACCGTTAAGATCAGAACCAAATGTCGAAGACTTACCGAACTATTCATTTTGTGGATTTATTTACAACTAAAGTCTAGTAGTTGTTGGAGCATTGGTGGTGATTGTAAATAACTAAATTTTTAAGCCAGTCCAACTCGTTATATCTCACAGAGAATTTGTAGTGGCATTCGCCCATAACCACACAATCTTCAAAGCTGAACACAAGACTACTCAGAAAATAGATATTCAATATTTAACGCGGAGAAATACCTAACAATGGCGAAGGCGCGAATAATGAGTTGAATGAATTGGAGTTGGTCGAGTGGCATGGCTCGGCCATGCAGGCGTGGTCTCTGCTGAATATTACCTTATATCTTTTATTCATATTAAATATATTGTTCTTTCTCTAGCCTAAGCTTGTTCTTCATCATGTATTGGTAGTTGTTACGATACAGTGAGTTGGTGTAGACGATGATGTGACTTCCACGTAAGATCTTATAGATTAGGCAGTTATATCATGACAAATCTACAATTTTAGGATTAGGTCTATTATTAGAGCAGTACTCATATCATAGTAGACCATAATTCTACATTGGTGAGCCCAACTAAAGAAACGCAACCCATTACTGTTAATCCTTATTTCCACCTTAACCTCAATCGGTTTTTATTTTTGTAAACCCAGTATTCGTATAGTCCTTTGATTAATGGTCACATATATTATCGTAATGTTATATCTGTTAGTTCACATAACTTACTAGCTCAATCGATAATAAAAGTTGATCATCTATATCAACTAAGTAGCTTTGATGGTTCGTTAACAAGCTTTAATAGCATTTACCTGCTTCAGCGACATAGTCTTGTTTAAACATCAAGCTCTAGCAAATATGACCTGTAAATAGCGTAAATATACATTGACTAACAATGCAATCAAGGACTAAATTGTTATCTGGATCTAATTCTCAGTGTTCCTTCACTTAACACCTCATCCTGTTTTAAACTATGCATTATCCTGTAATATCTTTTCTTCCGACCACTGCCTGCCTAAGTTCATATTCTCGAGTTCCATTGCCAAACAACAAGGATGACACTTCTCCAAAAAAAATACGGTGAGTTCCAGCTATAAGTTTTCTGCAATCATAAGTTCATTTTAGATGGCCCATTCAATGGCACACACAATTATCTGGATTCATTCAGTTGTTCTGATCAGAGCGAGTCCCAAAAACCTCAACAGCATTAAGCACCCTGGAAGTGATTGGCATACTGCATGTTTTATTCTGGATGCTTTTGGATCATTTCTA